TGTTTTCCAAATTAATTCTAGTCTTTAATCTTCAAAAAGGATAAAATTAATTTGAAGTTATGTCGTATTAGCCTTCATATTGTGCAAACAAAAGATCAAACAATCTTTTATGCAAATTTGTAAAGTTATAAAAATTTTATAAGACGCGAAGTTTGTGTTGTTGGAACTTTCTGCAATGAAGGGATTAGTGAAAGAGGACTGTTTGCGCCGACGAATTTGAAGATTTCGAAAGGAAAACAAATTTCTTCTGTCACAATTCCACACCTGAACAACATTATGCAAACTTACACACACACACACACGTACACACATGTACATATACATGTATCAGACTGCTTCAATAACATCGAAGCATTCATTAGTTACTTCTTTTTATTGCTGCGGAGAAGCCACGACACTTTGGCTGTTGTACTTGTTTTGGGAAGAGGAACTTTCGTTCACTGAACTTGTCAAGTCTCTTTTTCGGAACGAGGTTTATTATACGATAATCGATCACAATATTCGACCTAACTTGAATAGCTGATAAAGTAAATGGAATCCAAAAATGAAGTGGCAAGAAAGTTCCAATTAATTATGAGGTGTCTCTTGTATTAGTAGCATTTAAATTTGGACAGCAGTTTTATTCTGAAACTGTGGGGAATTAGTTGTAAGAACTTGTGCTGTTCTATTTTCATTCTGCGTTGATTGTTCTCGTCCCTCAATTTTTATCAAATAATTAAGCAATGAGCGGAGATAAATTCCCCAAGATTACTAAGTAGAGAAGTAAGAGAAAACGGAATCAAGTTAAGATGCAGTTTAGTTAATCTGATGTTTCGAATGATAATCGTTAACTTACTAATAGCCGTGATGGAAACATTTAGCGGTGAATTCAAAGATATTTTGAATGAGAATCGTTAACTACTAACAGCGTGAATCCAGAAATTCAAAGATATCCTATCGTACAGTATCCTATCGTATCCTATCGTACATACCCTGTCGTACAGTCCTACCGTATAGTGTCATAGTCTCAGCGCCATTCTGAACTATAAAGGTTAGCAAGCTCTCCTCGCAATTCAAGGTAATTTTTTTTCAGTAAAAAAGCGATTAAATATTTCAGGTAATATAACTCGTGCAATTCCATCCCTCCCTCTGTCTTGATTAGTGAAGTAGTTTTAATTAGAAATTAAAAAAGAATTGAAGAACAAACAAAGAGCAACGAATGAAACATGAGAAAATAAAGATGGCGAAAAGATTATTATTATTATTAATGTTGTTATTAATGATAAAATTGTTATATGATGTCTTGAACTGGATTTCTGCCTTCTCAATTATTCGACCAAGAATTTAATAAGAGAGGAACTGAGAGAAAGCTGTAATAATGATTATTGGATGGTAATCCAAGAAGAGCTTAATAGATTGGCCTTCGTGAAGTGTGCAAAATGAAGAATGATAAAAAAGTAAAGAGAGATATGGTATTTCGTCTTCCCTCAATATATATTATTATTTAATCCATTAAAATGAGCTGCTTCTCTCTCTCTCTTTTTTTTTCCAAAAGCTGTCAAAAAAAGCATTCTTAATTCATACACTTATCGTATTACAATGATTACAGATAATTTTACTAGGGTCAAGATAAGGTCAGCCCCATAACCTTCATTTCTTGTCCTAATTTCTTGCATTGACATCTCTTTGTTTTTTCATAGTTCATACCAAAAAATTCTCTCATTCATTCGACCGATAGTTTGTTCCGGTTTATCTTCCTTATAGCGTGGAACGTGCCGAGTAAGATTCTTCATGAACTTGCTGAAAGAATTTATTGCTTATTCTAGCAAGTCGACTTATAGCGATATTTCTTTCCAAAAACTTCGCAAAACATATATATTCACCAGCTGTTATTTTCTCCAGATAGAAAACGGAAATTGACAAGATATGGAAATGGTAGCATGATAACTTTTAATTGAATATCCAGCATATGATGACGATATAGCCAGCATATGATGACGATATAATATAAAATTGCACTTTAATATATAATTTAATACTTAAATCATGAATATCAAGTCAATTTGATTTGAAGAATGACGTAACTGTAATTGATCTAGTGAAGGAGGAATGTAGGAATGTAGGAAATGTAGTTAGAATCAGAATATTTCGGGTATATTATTGTTAAGAAGTAATACAGAGCACGAAGTTCAAAAGTATGGTAATAAGGAACTTATAATGCCTCTGTATGCCACTAATGAGCAGTAGGAAACAACAACGAAGAGAGAAGAACATTGATTTAATGTATTTGTTAATGTAATTAAGTACTGTGACATGTAAAACGAACGTTGTGATCAGGGAAAAACAAAGGACAAATTATCCTTCTAAGGTTTTTTGATGAAACTGTTTGGAAGGTGCTTGTAGAGGATAAAAAAAACTTTTTTAATTATAAATGTTTATTATTTTCAGCGCAATGTTACAGTTTCGGTTTTCTTGTTTCTTTCAAAATTGTTGAATATTGATGTAGAAAAATATTCACTGATAAATTCATACTCGTTTTCCCGAGATATCTGGTTTCTACTAGATGCACTGTGTAAAATTGTTGCTGTTAATTTGCATGATATGGTTAAACATTTCCTATATGCCATCTTCCATAAAAATCTAAATCTTATCTGTTTAATGTTGATGAGTACAAGGTATTGTATAGTAAGATAGACTATTTATCCAGTTAGCTCATCGTCACCTTTTTTAAAGGGAATCATTGTTCGGTGTGCTTTTATGACATTCAAAAAAGCTAGCGACATCTGCGCCCGTTAGAAGAAACGATTTGTATGCAATTGAAAATAAATATACTTTAAGCATATTATTGATAGGTGAAATACATAATGCACAATGGAAAGTTCTCTATTCACACAATTTAAACTAAATGACTATAAAATGGGACTTCTCAGAGATAGTAATTTACGCTTTGCGCGCTTACAGCTTTGCAAGCTTTAACACGATCGAAAATGTGCCAATCTAAGAGAGAGAATCCGTTAAGATATGTTCCAAAAAGTAGAAGGTGCAAATGCTAAGAAAACGTATTGTCAATAATATAATATTACTAAATTGTTCCTTCAGTGGTACTCAAATGATTTCTTCGAATTGCGAAAATTTTGTTGCTGTATCAGACCCTTCTTGTTGAATAGTTTGCTACCCTCGAAATTTTCATTAATTAACCTAGCAGTATGCAACTTTTCTCGGGAAGGAAATCCTAAGTGCCACTTTTTTGCTATAAGAATCTTCTTCGAAATAGAACATTGAATGAAATGGATTCGAATATCTGTAATTTGCATAGTATCTAAACATTAATCTCACACTTCAATTTTAGCATTTGTCCCATAATTACGCATAATTTTGTATTATACTTTTTCAAAAAAAATTGCAAAAACAAATAACAGAATCCAACTTCTCTCTTAATGTATTTTTAAAAGTACAGATAGAACTGAGTGTCATTTGTACCAAAAGATAATAATGACAATGATGGACAATGTCTTTTGTTCGACTGGTTCCATTGGACTGGCAGCAAACAAACAGTAAGGTCGAAATTGATAATAAGACTTATGCAATTCGGTTCAATGAACTTATTGCGCATCATGCACTCCCCTGCCCTTTACGTTATTGTGAGAAGGGACGGGAATATCAATTAAATTAAATAATTCATCTGATAATCAGCAAATCACTATAACTATTCATCAATCGTAATGGCTGCAGCCGCACTGACCGCATCTGGATGACCAATTGCTGATTACGGGTCCCCCCTCAACATGTCAAAAAAATGTGTGTGTGTGTGTGTGTGTGTGTGTGTGTGTGTGTGTGTGTGTAATTGTGAGTTTGAGTGTGAGTGTGAGAGTGTGTGTGTGAGTGTGAGTGTGAGTGTGAGTGTGTGTGTTTATGTGTATGTGCAGAGGTAATTCCTCCGTGTACTGCAAAAGAGAAATACGTTGAAAGCAAAGATGTGATTTTGCTGTTTCCGTCTGAACATAAACAAAATTATTGTTATTAGTGCTTTCCGGCTAAGTGAAAGTCTATATATAATATCATATTTAGGTATGAATTCAAAACAGATCTTTTAGCGGAATTTACGTCGTGCTAGATAAAATGCTTAATTCAATTCTGCTAGATAGAATAAATGTCTAACTCGATTCCGGAAAATCCCGATGCATTTGGTAAATATGTCATTTGGCATTATGATGATTCGCCTTAGCGCGTTTGTCAGTAAAAAACATGTGTCCATCATCTTCAATATTTTACCAAACCTGCTCTCAACGCGGCATGTTTCTCCTCTATTTTGTTTTCTTTCCTTCTATCCCGTAATCTAATTTAACAATGATTTCCAGTTCAGTTCAGTTCTAAATTCATTCATTCCTGTTTACCTCACACTTCTCTCATTTGCTGCTGCTGAATTCTTCGATCTTCGTCATGTCCGAATGCTATATTCACTTCTTTTCTTTTTTTCACTTTTCCGATCATTTTCAATTATTCTTTTCCGTATAGCTTTCTTCGCTACATGACATCATTAATGATCAAACTGTAGCATTAATCCAAGGTCAAACTCTTGGCTGATGCGGCATTCCGAAGTTCATATTATATTATTATTTCCGCAATATAATTTTCTGAACACATTAATTGGCTTACTGATGATAAAGGATTTTCGACAATTTGGAAATATTAAGCTTATTACGATCTTTTTTAAAGATAATAATAAAAAGATAGAAAATTTGAACTCATTTAGATTATTGAGGGAAATTAAATCAATTTTACATGTTATTCGTGACATGTTCTATAAGAATTTGAAATTTGAAAACATTTAGAATTTTGGGGGAAAAATAGGCAACCTTACAATTTTAACTCTTAAAGAACACTTGTTAACACTTATCGCATTCTGAATTGCCAGTTGCCTCTTTTAGCTGAGAAATGAATAATATGGTTGCGATATGCGAATGACTACGATATGATATAGGTTAAATATTAACTTCATTAATTAGAGATAGTTTTAGGCTATGGCATTGAAGCGTCCCTTTGCTGTGCTCTTCCTCAGTTGCCTTACAACAATGGTTATGTTCTCATTTACCCGTATTTTCACCCTTTCTCCCTCGATAAATCTGTGGAAAAGTGAACAAATTATCTTGAAGCCTTCACCTGTCACAGTTCTCACTACTACTATACCCATTACTACCACTACGGAAAAGTGCTTGGATTATGATGACAAGGTATGGCTTGCAATCATTTCCGGGCAGTTACCGGAATCGAATCTTCCTCTAAAGTAGTCACTCATTTAAGTGATTACATACTACATTAGAAGTGACGAAATATTTTTAGGCATCAGAACGACTTAAAAGTAGCAAAATTTCTCTGAAAGAAACAATGAGAATTTAAATTTCATCTGCCTAGCAATTATTTTACTTCTAAAATCAACAGATTTCAAGTTATCATTTCATTTCGTAAGAAACATAAGAAAAATAAATGCAAGTAATTGCGGGGGAGGGAGAGTTATGCAAGTAATGAGTAAGAGAAATAATGGAAGATAACATCACTCATTTGCACAATTGCAATAAGAGATTTGCAGACATATGTAATGGCAGCCTATATAACCTCTTCATCAATGATAAGATTAACGACAATTCGCAAGTGTAAAACGATTATTAGGCTCCGTTTTCATCTGAAGACGAATCAGTCGAAATTCCTAACTATTCCACTAATTCATAAGCCAATCCTAAAGTGTCCATGGTTCTATGCGATCAAGTCAGTTTCTTCCTGTTATCATTGCCTTAATTTTATTCTGTTAGTTAGAATTAGCGTTACATCATTGTAATTATTCAGATGTGATTTTGTCGGCTATTTTGCAATAACAGTGCGTCGGAAAGATTTGGATCAATTGTTGATGATAAGTCATAGAAAGTTACCGAAAGCTTACATATCACGGATGGATAGGCCCTCACTACAAGTGCCAGTTGTACTTCAAGAAGCACGTGTGATACCGAATCGACCGCGCAAACATTACCTTGCTGTCTGTTTGCAACCAATTTTTTTGTTAGCAGACTGGACTTTACTTGTGCAGTTTTTCGAGGTAGGTTAAAGCTGTATCATTTTCTTATACAGCGCAGCAACTAATTAATAAATCTTCCTGATTGGAAGTTGATGTTGCAAAAGTTGCTTTCAGTTCATGAATTCATAAACAGATTGATCATTTTATTTTTCTTGTCAAATATCTATGTATCCACTCTCTTCATAGAATGTTACAGATTTGGATTGCACAAGGTGTCACCAAATTTTGCGTGTATGTGCAGTCAATGACGCCTGAAGTTGACGCATTGCTACATGTTTATGAGCATTCAAAAGAAGTAGAAATTGAGCGAATTAATTGGGCTCCACTACCAACAGGTGATGTTACTTCGCATGATGTTACTTCAAACGATCCGAATTTACGGATTTATAGGACTGAGGTATGACATTCCTTAATTTCAGGTCATAATTTAACAAATTAGTTATTGCAGATGTTTTTGTTACTAAGAGACTAAGAGGTAGTAAATATATTTTCAGCAGTAAATGGATTTGCGATTGATTTTTGAACTTTTCTGACAAATTTTGAGTCGGATAAAGCGATAACGGGAAGACTTACTGCTATGACTTAATCACCGCACAGATATGTTCTTTTGGAAATGTTTAAGTTTGCTGCAATTTAGTAGAAAGTTGCAGAAAATTAGGTGCAGGTTTAACAAAACCAACAGCTGCTCTTCCTACCAGCAAATAAACTGAGGATGAAAAATGGCAATCTATTCTTCTGCTATCACAAACTTGTCCATTCATTTCCTTTCCATGTTATTTAATGCTAAATGCAAATTCTTCTGAGAAAAACCGTTCCCCGCCATAAGTGATGAATTCATCGTCGCCTTCCTTTTATCAAAAGCAATCTTAGACGGAGGATTGAAAAATCTCCTCACTCTTTTTTCACACCAATTAAAATAATTCTAAACGTGAAATATAAGTTAACGCCTTGTTGCTGTTGCTCCTAGGACTATCGCCGAGCATAAAGCATTATTAAATAGTAACATTGTCACTAACAATTCAACAATGACTCACTTGTTGTTAAATCTAATACTACAATTTCTCTCCTCCATAGGTGACCACTTCCATTAACGACTGTCTTTTACGAAATCGCGGACATGCAAAATATGTAATTTCTTCTGATCTCGATGAAATTGTGGTAACCAATAAAGAATCGTCTTTGCCTAAATTACTGGACAGTTTACAAGCGAAGTTTGAAAAATCAGCGGCATTTGTTATTCGTAGCAGTTTTGCGCTTTTTGAGGTAGGGAACATTATATTCTTAAATTACTGGACAGCTTTTTGAGATTTTGAAGAGCATCTCAGTTTCTAAGCTTTAATAGCTTGCCTGAAAATATCGTAAAACAAAAGATTATAATGCTTATTCTCGGGTGCACTGTATGATTAGTACTTTGACAGTCGGTAATTAAGTTTACTGCAATTAATACACTACCAAAATGGAAATATGATCAAGCAAATTTCGCCTGATATGTGAATATTTTAGGAGAACTTGCGCTTCATAACGAATGCCATATTAATTATTGATTCCCATTGAGTCATGGGAAAGTGGGGGAAACAGATGAAACGTAACGAAATGTCTTATATTAATTAGTATATAAATATAAATTATATCGAATAAAAGAAATGGGAACAAGTGGAAATGAGGCAAACAAAAAGACAGATTAATTAAAATATCATCGGATAATTTGAATAAATAAAAATACTTCACTGACTGGAAAGCATTATCAATAATTTTTAGAATCATTGGGCTAATATTTCCAAGCCAGCAGATATTGATTTCAGTGGTTTTGCAAATATTTCACTAGAAAACTATATTTGGCCAGCTGGTTTTCGGAGCAAAGTAAGTCTTCATTTCAGAATTCAGTAATTTTTACCATTTATAAATAATATTATTCTTGATTTTACTTGAATTAATTAAATAGATATAAATTACTGATGGATACAATGATCAGAGGTGATTGCTTTTCAGAAATAGTATGTGTTCCCCAAAATTTCCGCTTTTGCCGTTTTTCTTTTATCATTTTTCACATGTTTTCTCAATCGTTTCAGGTAATTATGATTCCAGAGTACATATACAGTGCACACGTACATCAGGTATTACAACCAGAACCTGGGAAGCTTGTAACAGTCGTACCACCTGAAACTGCTCTTGTTTTTCATTTAAGGTTTATTGAAATTCTTGAGCGTTTCGGATTTAAAATTGTAATGACCCTCGAGTCCCGCAAAAAGTGCTGATTATGTAAGCGATAATTTCGCAATGACAGCATGAAACTTGATAACGTTTAAATATGTAGCAGGTTTTTCAGTATCGGAGATTCTTATTTCATAAGACTGAGGTTGGATTGGCAGATTAATGTCTTTCCTCCTTGTAGTACACAGCATTCTCCCAGTTGCAATTGTCGCCCATATTCCAATATTCTTTTCATTTTTGAGACGAGTTATGCGGAATAAACTGTGGTCTTCAAACACAACAGTGAAAACCAATGCACTTGCTCGATTTATTGATCCTTGCAACAAATCTTGGAAAAACCGGTTGAAAGTGATCAGACAGATTCCTGAAGCTAAAATATTGCACGGAAGCGAGTGGCCCCAAAGAGGAAACCAGGTTTTCGCTGCTATTTTGCTTTTCAAATGTTTATGAGATATAAATGACAATCTTCTCCTTATCACTATCTTTAAACAATGAGACTATTCAATTAAGTCATTATTCACGTCTCCATGTTTTTATGTCTCAAAGCGAGAGATATCTCCGACAACATTTTATCATCTAAACAATAGTTGCGAGAGCTTCAATTAATTTCATTGTATGTTATCATATTTGGGTCAATATAGCACTTTAAGCTTATATCACTCCGGCAGGCTAGAATTGCTTATACTTTAAGATCTCTAGATGAAAAGCATAAAAACTTTGTCAAGTCTCAGAAAAATTTTTCGGATCTTATTTTAGTGCAGAAATTTGAAAGCTCACACTATCCATCATGTTTTTTCAACTTAAATTTTTTAAAATGGCAATGACATTTGCTGGATTTAAGATGAGTTATGGATCACCGGAATAGGCTGTAGAAAAAAATATGTTGCAAGAGCCCCAGTAGTGCGAAAACAATTATCCAAGCACTATTGACGGTTGAACGATGAAAGAAAGCACTTCGTGTGTCTATTTTTCGTGTCGTGTGTCGTATTCCGTGTATCGAGTTTGCTTTATATCATTCTTTACTTGTTAAATATATTTATGAAGTTTTGTTGGAAAACGCCTTATTAATTGTATCAAAATCCCTGGAAGGTTTTGGGGCAAACAGCTAAGTAAGTCTTAATTGAAAAACCGTTTAGATTCATATCGCTATCAATTATGCTCTGAAACAGTAATCATTTAATAAATGAGACAATTTATGGCAAGAAGTGCTGCAGTAGCAGATTTATTGCGTTGCTTAAGTTAGTTAACATATGAAATGCCATTTCTTTGTTGACAAAATAACTTATTTTCAGTTCACTTCTGATCTCTGATTTTAGGTAATGGAAGAACTGGAAGCATGCCGCGAACAGCTTGAATCTGTTCAAAATGACACCTGCCATTCACCATATCTTTGTATGTCCAAAATTAGCTCCGTCACAACAAACGAATGGGTCATTGCAAGGCAGACATGGACTATTTTATAATAGCATGGATGTATCTATTTAAGGTGATAGTTTTATCGTGCTGCCTCCAATAGGACTTAATATGATGTTTTGCATTTGCATTGTAATAATTTAAGGCAATTTTTCATGAACTTTGATTGCTTATCTGTGCTTTTTGACCTCTTATTGTAATAAGATTCCATATTGGTAATTTAGGATACGGAACAACAATATTTCATTTACGGGCAGATTCTGATACTTTATATGATTCTCACAGTTATGAAGTAACTAACTGCATTTCTCGTTACTAAAAAATCAATTAGACATTTTGTATTCACCACTGAATCTTCGTGTAAACTCTCGCTCATCTAGAAGCGAAGAATTCAATATTGGTGTCCTTATTAATAATGTCACATATGTTCAACATATGTTTTTGCACTTCACTTCCTCAGCAATCATTTTGTCTTCGCTTGCTCACTTTTTTCTCTATGTCTGTTCCTTATCATTCGTCTTCATGCAAATAAGTGATAAAAATCGATCTGCTCAAGCTTATATTTTTCTCTACAATCAGTCCAGTGTGTCATTGTCATCGTTTAGAAGTGATTCCGATTAAACCTTTTGTTGAGGATAATTGTCAAATTTTTTTGACAGAAGAATAATCCTGTCACCTAGGAATACTCGAGATTTGATTATATTGTTGATGGAATTATTTAGAACATCATCTGAACGATCTACAGGATATCTGGTTTTTGCTTTCTCGAAATGATATTTCAAACCTTCCTAACATAATTCATGTATAATTTTGTAATAATCATTATTAAAGTCAGGTAAAATGGTGAAGAAGTTGTATCTGAGAAACTCTTGGAGACTGATTGCGCTCATGTTTTAACTTGGGGAACTACACGATTCAATCAATGGCATTCTGATTATTGGGGAAAAGTGAATCATTCTCAGAATCCAGGCATGGCCATATCGTTTGCGATATATATATATATATATGCGCAAACATCAAAGAAGAAACGAAAGATAGTCGTGGTTCCAATTCGAGAAATTTTGGCATATCTTTTCCAGCATGACATCCTCAACTAACGCTTATCATGCGTTTGAAAGTGAAAATTCACATTTTTAGATGGCTTTTGAAGGACTAAATGGAAGAGAAAGAGGGAGAGGTATAAAAATAAATAAATAAATATTGTTTACTTATTATTTGTTTTAAAAGCGTTCTTGATCAAATGTCGTTAAGGCATGGCAGTCATCCTTATTTTTTTGTTTTTACAATCAGAAGAAGCTCCATTGATGCCACTGTTTAGGATTCACGTATCAAACATTAATAGCAGCAATGGCATTGATGATCGGCTAGTTATTACCACCAAAATTAGTTGATAATCGTTGGTTATTGATTGATCATTTTTTTTAAGGAATGACTTTAATAACTTTAAAATTTTCAAAGAATCGTTTGATCTCTGTTTATGTTTGAAAATATTTATGGCATGTTTTAAATATCAATTTTTAGTATAATACCAATCAGTTCAATATTGGCAATGAATGGTAACCAAGAGGAATATAAAAATGGAGTTTCATCGAGGAATCCGGAAACTATGAGAGTAGTCAAATTGCGATCGGTTTTTCGAAGTATTGTTGGGAGGAGATTCTATCCTTAGTTCAAAGCTCTATTACATTTTTTGATTTTTATCCGCAATTTTAAGTGTGAAGCCAGGAAGAGTACGAATAAGCTGATCAAGAGTACAGCGGAAAATGTAACGACTATTGCTCTTATGTAGAATTTTGTATAAATCAGTATTCCTTCATTACGGTTGCAATAATATTCTTTGAATTATTAAAATGTCTTTGTCATTAGTGGTAACTGATATTGAAACAATCTACTTTTGGTTGCGTAGTTTACAGTATGCTTACAACCTGTATGAACCATTAACTGCTCTATTGATAAAATCTCAGTTGAAAAAGTTTCCTTACAATAATTTGTTCAATCTGTTTTGTATGATTTCTATTGGAAAAAGTTGAAGTTTTAAAGGCAAACACTGTTAAAAGTAGGCTAATGACTCAAGAAACTTCCATCATTTCAAAATTGTAAGTCTGGCTCATCATTTTTACGCTTTAGCTACAAAAATACAAACATAATTTTGGTTACAAGTTAAATCGCATGAAGTGTTAAAGTCAAATGGAAGCATTCATGCTATATAAGTCTTCTTCCATATATTATATTCAAAATGATTAATCCAAACTTTCGAATTATAAAGTGGAGTTAAGGCTAAAGTTTATATTTGTTCTTTCAAATCTCGAATTTTATTAGAAGTAGTTGATTTGGATTTTTAAAGTTGATAGCCACTCATAACCAGAAACGAATCAACGACCCTCATCTACTACTGCTATTACTGGAAGTTTGTCCGTGGCTACTTCCAATAACAACAATAGATGGTCCTTAACTCAACTTGGTATGATTTCGATTAAATGGGGTTATATAGTTTGTCCTGCACTACTACATCACGTCATATTGTTTGTGCTATCATGTCTATCCGATCGATGAATTGTAGGAAAAGCGCTACGGTAGCAATGTGAGTGTTATAACAGTTGCAGTAACATTAGTGGTACCATAACTGCGATATTGGTATATATAGTAAGAGCAGAAGATGTGACATAAGAAGTGCTAATATGGTGCGGTATAAATGTTAACAAATGTATAAATTTTGCGGAATTCCGCACTTCTGGATTTGAATATGAAATCTATTATTTAACACCTAGAACCTCTAGTTCATGCTTTGATTGTAAAGCGAAAAAGTGCTGCACCATGATTATAGAGTGCTATAATGTTGATTGTTGGCAGAATTAGCTATTTCGTCAGAAACATATCTTACGGTACAGCAACTGACAAATGACTCCACTTTACGAACCGACGTTTCATGGCAATAATCAATTTCATTAATTCATCTGTAATTGGTAGGAAGGTTGCGTGAGGTAGATGGTAAGAAAAGGAATTTATTTACTGCGGGCGTTAAAATAGTCAAGATGATGGAAGACTGTTTATAAGTTAATTGATAAATGAAAATCACCATTCGCAGGCGAACATTTACAAATCACTTTTTCTCGCTGTTACTAAATTAATCAGTTTCTGAGAAAAGTGCATTGAATAAATGTGGCGTAATCGATTTACTAAACTATGAGCAATGAGGAAACTTTATTTTACTACACCTTGTGATTCTTGACACTGTACTTCTTCAGAAAAATGCTGTGCTGTGTCTTATTTATTACAGCCTTATTGAATCATGCCTCTATTTTATACCTAGAGTCATAGAGCTTAAAAACTATATTGGAACTATCACAATTAATCATATTATTTTTTCCAACCAACCTAATATTGCTGAAATTGAAGAGAAACATGACAAAATTTATTAGGTGCACAAATTCTAGATGAATGATGCACATCAATCTATAAAGTTGACGCTATTTGTTTCACTAAATGACAAATTTGATGACTGGACTGAGCATTAAAATACCATTAACATTTGCATATTTCTGACAGATTATTTGCTAAAATAGCAGTAAATCACAGGAGGAATCCTTTTTTACTCAGTTTTCATTCGAAGGTGGTTGTCTGCGGGAACAGATTTCTCATTATATCAAGGGTAATAGATCTTGTCCAGGACGATGGCCGTGAATCAGTACAGCAGTCCAGGATGAGGATGATATTATCTATACATACACAATATTTCACTCTTTCATCTGAATTCTAAATAAAAATCAAATTTCAGGCTTTAAAGGTTAATGGGAAAAGAATGACTTTAATGACAATTACATCATTTGTATGTCTTCTGCTCAACATTTCCTACATAATTGCTCTATTGATTGTGTGCGTAAGAAAACGAAACGTTGAAACAGTAACTTTTATGACGCCATACTGAAACATTCTTCGCTTGCTTCTATCACAAGTAGTAGCATGGCGGAATAAGGGAAAGATTTAGTTGACCAAATCTTAAAACAAATACTTTGATACCTCACCCCAAACATTTCATTTCATCTTCATCGTAAGTGGGAATAAGTCACCTGCAAGCACTAAAAAAAATTGCATTTGCTGGCAGTCCAAATTCGAGAATCAAATGAATTTTAAATTTCATCAATTGAAAAAGCCTTTCCGATTCGGGAACAAAACTGAATAACAGGAGATTGCTACTTCATCCTACAAAATTATTTTTAGATAAAAGAGAAAAATGAGCAGTACAAACCATCGGAAAAGCCAAAAAGCTCAAAAGAAAATCGAAAGGAGCCTTTGGGCCCCTCCCCCTTATCAAATGCCGCGGTCACTAAAGAAGCTGCTGTTGTTGTTGCTGCTGGAGTACCTGCTAAACAAGTACTACAACGAAATTCGACTGCAGCTAATCAAATGCAGCAAAAAATTAATGATGTTAGCTAAAAAAGTGTTCAAATAATCGGGTCTGGAAAAGATCCGGTAGATATTGCAACTTGTAGGGGAGCGAAGATAGTTCAAGAGGTCACAAAGTCCTACAACTACCTTTTGTGGTATTCTTCAGAGCAGCGGTGTATCCTTAAATGAAATTTGATTGAATTTGGATGAGAAAGGTGGAAGCTAACTTTGAGAAGCGCTATATTTACATGTGAACCATTCACTGTCTTCGTAACCCCAAACTTGCCTTGTTTTTTCAACTTAGAATTTCCGAATGGGATTTGAAATATGTAAATATCGAAATTGCTTGGAAATTTGAGAAAAATTCTTGGTAAATGTAAATGGTATGAAATACCATGCCATCTAGGCCATTGCGATACATACATAAAATAGTATGAGATGAAGGGCTGAATGAGGAAATTTGAATGTCTATATGTTTTTTACTTCACATTGCCTAACTTAATTGTCGCTTAACTTCACATTTGAGTCACCGAGATCGAGAATTATGAGAGTGAATGATTAAGAAAACACTAAAACAGATTTTGTTTGAGTTAACAGCTTTTGAAATTCTCAAAAATGCATCGAAGTTCCTTTGTAGTGAGAGTCTTGATAGGAACAAATTTCCGACAGCGTTTTCGACCACGCCAAAACCTATGTCGTCATCCACAATATATTCAGGGGCACACGCAACCGACACAGCTAAGTAAAGAAGGAATATCGAGCGCAAAAGATGGGAAGAAAAATTTGCTGCAGGTTCACTGATTTTTACTTCAAAATTCTGATAATTTATTAGCATCTAACAAAATGTTGGGTAAGGAAAGAAATTCATTTAAGAAGTAAAAAGGAAATTGGAATTTTTAGAGAATAAAAGATATGAAGGATACGAAAGATGGACAAGTTCAATACGAACAGTATGTAAGCTTACTATTATTCTTCTACTCAAATATTTCGGACTGATGCTGTATAAATGTCTAAAGCATAGAGTGTGAGATGAATTCCTCACGCAAACTTCTACATACTTTCCGATTGACCTTATGATACTGAAATTGCGTGAAACGAATTCCAGGCATGATACCAAGTATTGAGCAATAATCATACAACTAAATTTCTTTGTTACAATTGTAATGGGTGAGAAGGATGCATACAATAATCCTTAATCCTAACAGCTCCACAACAAGTGAATAAATCAGTAACTTTTCCGCAATCCATCTATGATGTCTATGACCAAAGAGACAACTCGAGTAAAAGAATATTTCAATACTTTTTTTATTTCAAATAAATTGGCTCAAAAAATTCAAAATAAATATTGCGCTATTATCGGAAAAACTCTTAGAAATCAGCAAAACGGCGAAAAAAACCAACGAATAAAGAGATCAAATTGGAAATAGCGGAAACGCAAAGACGTAATCAAACGGAAAAAAAGCTAAAAGAAGATAAGGTAGATAATGTTGAATATATTTAAATGATAATATAAACTGAGCTAAGCACTGGCACTAAGAAAGACTCATAATGTTAATGTCATTTATCCGTAAAACATCACTCTCACTACCATCACATATTATATCACCATCTTAATCATACTTATTATTGCAATCGTCATTATCAGTATAATTATTTTCGTCCTTACTATCACCCGCAATATTGACATATCATTTGCATGAACTGTGGGATGTTTGGGTTCGACTTCTCGCTCTAACAGTCTGTAATTTTTCGTACTCCCCTGCAGTTAGTTATCTCGTTGTTGCTACATATGTGTCCCTGGTAACCTTCTTCCTAGCCTTCGGTACCAATCCTTTTCATGGGCTGTTATATGCATATTCAAGTTTCTCTTCTTCTGTGTTCTGAAATGCCAAAAAATGTTGGATTCTTTGTTTTCACTTTTTGTCTCCACTTTTTACAGCCGATACTTCTCACCACCTGATTACGTATATACTTGTTTCCCCTAATCACTGATTAGATGGTCGATGATTTCCTTTACATTTCTTAAAAAACCGCTACTTGTTATTTCCCTCAATGAATCCTCAATCTTTGCATTAATATAGTTGTGAATCGCTAATCTCAATTCTTCAACTCCCGTTTCACGGTTCAATATCAAATCATAACTGCTCATACCAACAATTGATATGAGCAGCCATTTTCCAGATTGTTTCTAGTTTATCACTTGTAGATGGCAAAAGAGGAGAAAGAGGAAGAGGAGGAGGAGGAGGAGGAGGAGGACGACACAATGAAAGGGATCGCTTCGCTACAACAGGACCCCAATATCGTCTCCACCGAAGAGTAACCACCTCCCATCTGTGATCATTTATTCGTTTCCTCTCATGTAGATCAGTTATCAATAATAAACTGCGTTAACCTTCCACGATCTCTTCATTCCACAAAAAACTGAAGAAGAGTCCGCGGCTCGAAATACTACGGGAGAATGGTTCGGCTTGGTTCAGTATTCACTTTTTCGCTTTTCATTTTTCAAATTTCCGAGGAAATGCACATTGATGGACCGTCGTTGATGTTGAGTGTGAGGCGTTGAATTGTATGAGATGTTGGATTCCCTCATGAATGTGTCGAATTTAGCACTCTCGCATTATTACTTTTACAAATTCATGATTTGACATATCATTTCTTTTGTTTGCAGTAATAAAAATGGACTTAACGGAGAGATGGCCAGTGGAAAGTCTGGTCGATGGAGCTAAGCTCGGTGTTCGCATGACCGGAGACTCAGAGTTCCGTATGTTTCTCTTTTATCCATTCTTTCGTTTGTCACATAAGAAGACGTAGACGTTAAGATTTATTGATACTCTGTATTTTATTTTACTCTAAAGAAGCCTTTTGCAGGTGAAGCAGAAATTTTATCGATACGCATCACACCGGAACGAAAATACAAATTTTATGTTCATTACATTGATTGTAATCGACGATTAGATGAGTGGGTCGATGAGTCAGCGTTGGATCTAACCAACGTCCGCTTCCCACAAAAGGGTGGTAAAGCTCCAAAAATACAAGTTGATACTGCTAGCAGGTAGGTATATGATTTAAATCAGGGTTATCTATTAAGCCTGCAGTGATTGTCCTTCCTATTCCTGCGAAATATATTAGAATGTATTAAATTAATTTTTGTCATTCTGATGCTTTCACGAGATGCTATGGTAAATTAATCAAATTTCCTTTATAGCAAAAGAATTTCGGTGTTTTTTACGTTAGCTGCAAACTTAGGCAATGAATCACTTTATGGATATATTTTCGTTTCATTTATTTCAGATTAAGCACTTTAATAAATAAATGGCATTGCTAAGAAACTTTATTCTACTGTCTAAGAGAAATTATATAGTTCGCATACGTCGTCTCCGGACCGTGAAGTACCTAAGAAAGGCTCAACACGGAAAAGGAAAGTGATTGGTGATGCATCAGAAGTTGTCAAAGCAGAAGAAGCACCTGTGGTACCACGTTCATCGTCACCATTTCAAACAGATATTAAGGGTTTGTTTCTGTTTTACTGTTCTATTACGCCCATTACCTTTCAATGTTTCATATTTTTTTCTATTAAATTGGATTTAATTTTTGGTTAGAATGAGTTTTTGAAAAATAGGTATTACGGCTGATAGGATAGTTTTGAGTAAGCAGTTCTATATCTTTTCAGCACCAACACAGCGAGGTTCGATGTCGATAATTGGACATAGTGAGGATGCGTTAACACGGATTCGAAACATTGAAATGGTCGAATTGGGACGCTATCGCATACAGCCGTGGTACTTCTCACCCTATCCACAGGAACTCACTGCACTTCCGTGCATTTATCTTTGCGAATTTTGCTTAAAATTCGTTAAAAGTTCCACATGTCTGAAGCGACATATGGTAATTTCATTTTCAATTTTTCTGAATCACTAAAGAATAATGCACTAATTTCACGGTAAGGAGGAAGTGCTTAAATTATAGATAAGTCAATTATCAGAGAAATTAGTATTCTATGTTTCTTTTGGTAAACTTCGTGGTTTGGAATTAAGTAGAGATTTTTGTTGTTGAAGCTTTACATATTTTTCAGATGAAGTGTCATTTAAAGCATCCACCAGGCAATGAAATATATCGTTCTGATAAATTATCTTTTTTTGAAATTGATGGAAGGAAGAACAAAGTTAGTTTTCATCGGATTACGCGTAAACATACAATTTATATGTATTTTATTTATTTTACGAATTTCAACAGGTTTCGTTTAGATTTACGCGCAGAATCTCTGTCTCTTGGCTAAACTCTTTCTGGATCACAAGACACTCTATTATGATACCGATCCCTTCCTCTTCTATATTTTAACTGAACAGGATGATCGTGGCTTTCATATCGTTGGGTACTTCTCAAAGGTTTTACAATATTTGTCAAGAATTATTGGTTTCAGAAAAGTTTATTGAGTAACTTTCATAGATGAAGATTTTTAAACTCACGTTCTTTTCAGGAAAAAGAATCAGCAGAAGAATATAATGTCGCATGTATATTAGTTTTGCCTCCCTATCAGAAAAAAGGTTATGGGCGACTTTTAATTGAATTCAGCTATGAACTTTCAAAATGTGAAGGAAAAACTGGATCACCTGAAAAGCCACTGTCGGATTTAGGATTGGTAAACTCTGATGATTCGATTTTATTCTTATAGAAGAAATTATCACTAGCTACTGTACTTTGTCTAAATTATTTTTTCAAATCCTTTGCTAGACACTATTTATAAATATTTGACTTATCTATGTTCCTGCATGTTTATTTTCAAATTGTAGTTTGTGGAACGTTGAGTTAGCTGATTTCCTCTCGATTTAACTTTCTGACAGAGGACATATGTCTTGAATTTTTGGCGTGAGCTTAGAGACTTTGATTTATGCTAATATCAAAAGCTGAATGATCTGAATGACCTAACAAGAAGGTGAATGAAATGGAATGGCTTAAATCCTAGCATTATGAGCATTATGAGCTTAGAAACATTAGAGTTGAACACTTTACCCCAGAGAAGACTTAGAAGACTTAACTGTGTTTGTAAGTATAATACTTTCATAAGAAAGCAGTTTATTTCTTAATTTTAAATTTTATCGTGTAAAAAGTGAAACTTTCTTCTTCCCATTTCTAAGTCTATCACTTGCCATGTTCTTATCCTTCATCCTCCTTTGATAATTATAAATAATTTTTGCTTAATATATAACTCGAATTTGTATCCAGTTCTATGAGTGACCAATAGATTTAAAAGCAGCAGATATAAATTTTAATACTAAAAATACTCTGGAACAATTTCAAGCAAATTATAAACAATGATGCACCGGACATTTTTATACCGGACATTCTTCATCGTACTAAATGACCAGATCATCATGGATAAATATTATAAACATGGCCATACGATAGTATTGATTGTTAATTTATTTTTTTTCAGCTGTCATATCGTAGTTTTTGGTCACAAAAAATCATTGAAAAATTGGTGCAACATCGAGAGAGATGCGATGATGGTGATCAGCTCTACTTGTCAGTTAATGATCTCAGCGAGGAAACAAGCATACGAAAAGAAGATATCATATCAACTTTACAAGTGTATTTTATTTAGTTTTTTTCTTTTTGCACTTTATTCTCTAGAATTTCGGAAAAGATTTTCTTTTTTTCCATTAAAACGAATTATAACTATCTATGTTTTATTCAGCAGCTGAACCTATATAAGTACTACAAAGGACAGTATGTCATCGTTTTAAGTAATGAATTGTTGGACGCATATCGAAGAAGACAGCAAAAGCGTCAAGTTCGAATTGATCCATCGAAACTTCATTTTCAACCTAAAGACTGGTCACGAAGGAAAATTTGAATGATATATTTTAATATATTATGCACTTTACATAGATTTCATTTCTTTTCATACCATTTTTATATCTCACCTATTTCTCCATTGATGTCCCGCTGAATGATACATTCAGAAGAAGCATAAAGAATGGGAGCTGTGTCAAGAAGTAATAGCTGCGATTGAGATGAGCTTCTGCCACCTTCATTGATCAAGTTTATGTTGTTGATGATGGTGTATTTGTACATTGTGATTTGTTGTTTCGTAATCATTCCAGTAAATCAGCTTTCTTCGTAACCAATATCCCTTTTGTTTTATTTCTATTATTGTACTACAAAGAAATTCAAGATTTCTTCCCTAATTGATGTATTAAATCGATTTTTAGAAATATTGGATTTCTGATGTCCACGACTACCCATTGCTGGAGATTTATAAACAGATAAATTGTTTCGGATTCGTTTGTTATTGTTCTTACATAGCCCTATTATATTATCCATCACTGCAAATCTACGTTCTGTAGAAATTGTGATGTAGAGCATCAAAAATTCATGTTTCCAGGTACTAATATGGAACCCTTTGGATTTGCCCATTTACGAGTTGTAGAGACGGTGAATATGGCACCTACGATATCTGGTTGGAAATACAAAAGAAATTTCTTAGATGTCTCAAAGTGAATGCTTTTCTACTACTTCGCTAACATTCTTTTGCAGTCTTTTAATTGTCAAACACTGCAAAATTACATACATATGTATGTATATTCCTTTTTGTCTTGTACATCCGTTTGTTATTCAGTGGCACTGTTAGCCATAAGATGCAAGTTTTTCAATATTAACTTCGAAAACAGTTATTGTGTTTTACAGGTTGACGAAATTTCAACAATTATCGATGCGTTATCTGTACTATCCTGTAAATACGCCTGTTTGCCATTATCAGAAGAGATTAATTTTAGATTCGATATACAACAATATTTTGATAGCACTCCCAAAAGAACTGGATACTTTCTTCGTTGGTGCCATTGCTATGCTTAATTTTCACAGGTACTAATTGCTCTATAAATGCTGCAATCTAAAAAGAAATCATCCAAATTCTATGTATATAGTAATGATCACCACTTCCTTTATTAATGGTAATTTCAATATAATTTTGTTTCGTCTTGACTTTTTTCAGTATTTGAAATACAGAAATGATTTTTTTGTATTCAAGAAGTAAATTGCTCGCTCGCAGTTATGAATTCTATAGAATAGGCCCCTGTTGTGTTTTCTTCTTCTTTCAAGAAAGCATGTCATACTGCTTTATTCTTATGCTCACCTCTTTTTCTCCCATTATTAGGCAGTGAAACACATGTAAAACTACTTAAGAGTACATCTTTTTTCCTCTCATTGTTAATTAGATACGATTAACTGTCTTGCTTGTTTTCTGAAGCTTTCAAATAATGAATTGTTATTTCATATATCAATATCTTTTTCTAGCTTGAAATTGAAGTATTGTTCACTAATGTAGAGCAAATAAGTAACAAAATAATGCGCATAATTCCTAAAATGTTTGGAGGAAAACATATGTCTCCATTTTAGTTATTTGCAGATGGTTTCCGATGCAAAAGGTGGTGTGCATATGCAAAAATGTTGAATCATCGTTGAATGCCACAAAGCGATTCATCGAAATTACAGGTCATTCACAGAGTATTTGTGTATATGCTAATCAAAAAAAGAGTGGTCGTCAACCGAAATGGATTGAACAGGACATCATATTTGCTACTGCGGAGGTATTTGTATTTATTGTTATTGATTAATGAAAAGTTATGGATTCATTTAAACTTCCTGAATATGATCAGGGTAAGTCATCTAGTCGATTATAGTAGTAGGCAAGTAGAAAGAATTTGTTAGCGATCTTTGCGTATAGCGGGAGTTTTTCGCGATAAGAAATACAATTTTTATATCAGCTAATTTTGTCAAGAAACGATATCAAATATTTCCCCTCATTTTTTCATTCTCAAGAAATATATTGAATACTCCGGTATGAGAGAAATAACAATTCATGCCAGTATCAATATCTACTGATAATGAAGTAAGATAGCGCAGCCGGCACGTATGTGTCATATCATCTTACGAATTCAACTATTGTTGAATTCAAAAATGTGCCACATCAAAGCAGATGAAAAAATATTTTATCTAATAATGTACTCATTGTATAAACACAGTGCTCGATTCGAAAGCGGTCGCTCATTTATTATGTCTAACAGTGTTTATATTGTCAGTATCACGCTTATCTCAAATCTGAATCGATGAAAATATCCAATGACAGCGAAAATTCTAAATTAAGTTTAACATCACAATTATAGATAAATCTACTTATCAAAACTTTCCAAAATGTACTCATTGTATAAACACAGTGTATAAACACATATTAGTTTTTTGCAGCATTCAATATTAGTTCTATTTAACATTAGTTTTATTAGTTCTATTTGTGTTATTCGGCAGGAATGAAATTCTAATCAACCTCTAAATATTACATTGAAATGTTTGATCCTTATGTAGCTTCGAAACATCTGAAGTGGTTGCTGGAGATTTGGGAATGGACGGTGGAATGCTGCTTTAAGACAAATTAAATTACTCTTCCATTCTAAACTCCAACAAAATAAGTTGAAAGAATTTTGGACTCTATTTCAGAATTAAATTATCAAGCCCAGGCTTCTCTAGTCATTATAAAGCATATGAAATTTCACAATCTAAATATCTTTTCATTGGTTTCCATGAAGCTTTGTAAGACATTTTCTCAAAAAAATTAATTTTATCCATACATATTTGCAACTGTACGTCATAAAGAAGTCAGAAAATATTTAACACACTAGTGACCAGGGTATCTGGTATTATATTTATTGCTATCTTGGAATCAAATTAGCATTTTTTATAATTCAAGAAATAATGGATTCAGTTCATGCATGTAGCGTGCACGAAACGGTCATCGACGATGAGATGTCACTTAGGACGAACATGTTAATGAACTTCTAAAATCTTTTCAAACATGGGTAAGAATCTCTGTTGAAACGTATAGCTGTGTTCAAACGTACATTTCCGATCTAGAAAACATAAAATATTTTTGTAACAATTGGCAAGAATCTCCGGGAAAAGAAGTGCAAAATGTTATCATCCAACCATTGTTTGTTGTGAAGGTGGCAATCTACTGCTGTTTGTGGAATGAGAAAGTTATCTGCTTCAGCGGATGAATTTAGAAAAATGTATAAAATGGAGATGAAGTTTTCTTGTCATCAGCAGAAATTAAAAGGCAAGGTGAAACCACTTAGTTTGGATCTGCTCTGGAAATATTTTGATTCATAAGAACTGATTATCACTGTTGCTTTATCCCAGTGACGATCCATCAAATAGCTTACACATGCTCTAACCGAAAGCATCGTATTTCTTCCACTCCACATCTTCTCTTTATCCATGTCTTTTTAACATTTACTTTTTTTTGAAAAAATTTGCTTAAATTTTGAATAATCTTCCGAGAAAATACATTAGTTTCAATTGTAGAGCCTCGTTGCTGATTTTGCGGGCAGAGAAGAGCTTTCAGAAATTTGCTTGATAATTGTGGAAGATGCTCATCGTGCTATGTCTGGTTCTCATCCTTTATCCGAACTAATTCGTAACTGTATTCTTGAAAAAGTAAGTTACTGATTGAATCATTTAAAACATCCAATTGTGGTGTTCCTTTTTTATCTCCTATTTAGATTTAGTGAGAATTGAAAAGATAACATCCAGTTATCTCCTATTTAGTGAGAATTGGAAGGATAATGTTCAATTCTCACTAAATAGGAGATAAAAAAAGGAACATCACAGTTCTAGTCATTCTTTGGTTATTCAATAAAGGAAAATTTTTTTTTAAAGGGAAAGTTTCGTGTTTTGGCTCATACAAGCTGCAAAGTGGATAAAATCGGCCAACTACAATTAATTGTGATGAATCTTCAAATCGATTTGATTCGATCATTGAGCTCGATAAGAGAGGAGGTTTCGTTAGCTGTTGCTTCTCCAAGGATGTATAAGCTCTATATACCCATTAGTGAAGATATGCGTCGTGTTGGCAATGAACTATTGAAAGTATCTTTCTTCTATCGTTATTAACTTTTTTTTGGAAGTTACTAGTGAATTACAAGTAAATCACAGTAATTGTCCTTGTTGAGTCGTAAAGGAAAATTTTTTCAAGAGGATTTATGTACATATTAAATCTTTTTCGAAATAATAGAAGCTGTAGGAATGAACGTAACGGGTTTTTCATTTTTAAGAATTTGCTAATTAAAAGCATTAAAAATATCTTTTGTACGCAAATCTTACTTTCTTCTTATTTTGTAGAATTTTCTCAACGGTTACCAATTTTCTCTCCATATCTTTCAGTGTCTTGCCTCTTCAGGCAATGGAACCTATTGCATCGTTGCTATGCGAAAGTGGCATATTTCCTACAAACGATATAAAGAAAATTGTCAATTTCTCAACAAGTTATTTGAAAAAAAAGGTTCAAAAAGGACGAGGCCATCTGGCAGAAATTTACTGCGATTTTTTCGAACTTCTATCAGCATATGATGTTCTAATGTGCGATGGTTTGACCGCTTTCAGAAATACTCTTGAAGGTTGGTGGTTTTTGAAGCAATGATTTCGAGAGCTTCAATTAAAGCTGTAAAGCTGGCCCTTTTATTACAAATATTGTTCGTCACATAAATACTTTTCAGCATTATCCACCATGAGCACCACGATTGCAGAAATCACTCAATCGAATGACATTTTAAGAGAGGCCTGTTTTCTCTCGATTCTTCCAAGGTCTGATGACCTGCAATGTCACAAACTGGATATGCTAATTACACTACTGAGGAAAACTTGCACGTATTACGGTGTGTTTTATGTCTCATAAGTGATTTTCATTCTCTTCCGAAGAGAAGCCTCAATTATCATACCCAATAGATTGCGAGAGTTTTTAATATTTTCAGGTCGCAAAAAGTCAATAGTAATAGTGCTATGTAGAGATCGAGATCCTGCATTTGTCAACAGTCTTATTCTGTCGCTTAAAGCACGGCTTTCTGACGAAGAATATGGATTTGCTTTTTTCCTCTTTAAACGTAATTTCTAAAAAGATTCATTGTGGTAAAGCCCTATCACTTTCTTACCTGCTATATTTTTCTTTTGCTATTCATATTCTCACCTTGTCGATTTTCTTTTCCTGCTCCATTTCGAATTCGTTATTCATTTAATTATTTGCTTATTTGCTTTAATTAATTTGTTCCAGGAAGCGATCACCAAATACAAATTTCAGAAAATGCGATGAAGGTATAGATTGATAGCTTCACTTAACTTCAATGCATTTTTGTTTGAAGATTAACTGGATTACGCTATTCTTCATGAAGAATATTTTTATATCATTCGTATGTTTATTATGAAATATTTGATGATATTTACAGAAGGAATTATGCAACGTTGTCATTATACCATGTGATTCGGATGGAGCTGGAATTAACATTGGTTGTGTAGATTCCATAATTTGTATGGATGAAGGGTTTGTTTTCTTTAGACAGTCCTTGCTTTTTTTTAAAACTTCTTTAATTTCTTTCACATTTAATGAATTGAACATTTGGATATTGATGTACTGTTTATTGTTTAGCCTGTGTGCTCTTCGCTATACAGGGACTATCAGAGTACAATCAGAAGGAAATCTTTCAGCACTCTGTTCCGCAGGCTATGAAACGGTACAGATACGCATATCAATTATTAAATATCTACAAGTTGACGCTAAATTAGGAATGACTTTGATATATTCAACAAAAGTTTAATAGTTTGAGCAGGAAGCAAAATATACTCAACATATTACTTAAACACTAAAATCAGTCTAAGTGGAAAAACCGGATTGTGTCGATAAGATGATGCACTTCTCACATTTCAGAATATCTACAGTTTCTTGACAGTTGATGGAACCATTGACTGCGTACAAGCAGATCACATTAAAGGCCTTCAGCTATGTAACGATGTATTGCCGATGTTGCCATTTAATGCCATGCCTGAAGTTGTGGAATACTGGGCTCAGAATGTTAGTGACAGGTTGGGTTGACTTTTTTTTACTCACAATAAATTCAGCTGCTCAAGTAGCATTACGGTTAATAGTTGTCTCTGTTCCAGTGAAGGTTTGTTGACGATGGTTCAACGTTTCGATTTTCAAGAAAGGCTTTCTTTCAGCAATCCATTGCATGAATTAAATTTGATTGAGGTATATTTTTTATTTATTTGATTTCCATTTTTTTCCCATTGAAATTCTATACTTATCTAGAAACGAAAGCATACTTTTTGCCGAGAAGTATTGGGCATCAACTTTTCATTCTAATAATCGTGATAATCAGCAAACGACAATATCTTTTTTCAAATTTATTTAAAAAGGAATTTTTTCTCCTGTCACTTATGCTTTACTTTTAAGTATTTATTTTAAACCTAAAAATATCAAAATTCGTTTTTTTTTTTAAATTCCTATGCTTTAATAACTAGCTTTTTTATCAGGACAACTGTAATTTACTGAATTATTGTGTGAAGGAAACATTTTTATGGCAAGATCGTCTACAGCGCTTCACATTATTTGGACACAGCAATAGCGCTTTTAATTTGACAAATATTTTCAACAGAGATCCAGAAGTTTTGGTAGGACAAGTTCTAAGGTATGTTTTGAGATATCTAAATTGTCTCAGTATACGTAATATGTAATTTTGATGTAACATTGCGGCTTTTTTTTGTATGTTGCTTTACATCCTGTTTTAATTGTCGTTTGCCCCAGATTACAAAATAGGCAGAGATTGAAGTGGATGGATGAAGATTCACAAACATCGAAAGCCGATGACTCAGAATTAACCGAATTGCATTTGAAAGACGGTGAAAATTCAAAAGTGGAATGCTCTGAAAAACGATCGGGTCAGAAGCGATTAGCAAAAGTACGACTATTTTTCAATCGAAGATTCTCAAATCTTTAGAAATATTACTTTTCTATGAAAGTGCTACTAATATTAGTATGTATCAAATAAATTACAGGAGTCATCCAGAAAATGTGGCACGACGAAGGTGCCGCGCTTGAATCGTATTGATTCTGCTAGCTTTACACTGTTAAAAGTGTTTAAAACAGAGGTAGATCTAATGTGCTTATTCTAAGTCATCATTTTTCTGCTTTATTTTATGCTTTTACGTTTTTTCAGATGGGATAAAAATACTTTTATTATAACTAACTAATTGAGAGGGAGATTGGTTTATTCAGGATTATTTGAGAAATTTGTTCTAAAAGTGACTTTCAAATTTGACAGATAATTTTTTTCCAATTATTCAACTAGACACGACGGCATTCTCCAATTACGAAAATACTCTTCTATTTTTTTAACTGTTGCAAAATTGTGCTGTTATTTCAGTTAAAAGAAAGCGATTTCGTTGACCATATGAAAAACGAGGACCTATATCGTGAACGCCTGGAGCGGATAACTGAAATCGTTCAAAAACTGAATAATTTGATAAGATTATAACCTAAAGTTTTATATACTTATTTGCTTCAACTAAAATTTCGGGATTCATAACTTTTCATATCGTTGGGAGTATGTCATTTTAGTATATTCCAAAAACTGTTTTTATTACCGTAGCACCCCTGATTTGCACGGTAGATCACAGTATCGAGAAATTATTTACCAAGTAATTTAGAATTTGGCGTACAAGGCACATTCCATGATGAAATCTGAAGGAAAAGCATAACGAAGCATTAATTTCAGGATTTTTTTTTGTTCCAATATTTATTTTAAAAAAGATGTTGAGAAATTAAATAAGCTTAAATTGATGCTAAAGCCTGTTTTAAATATGAAATTAGTGACGAGAGAAGACTATAATAGTTAAGTTCTCTTTCCTGCGTGCGTCAAGGGATCAGGCGAACTAAAAGGATAATATCCTTGATAATTACTGGGAAAAGCGAAAAATTTCTCCTTCACATATTCATATATTGTTTTACTATTTCTCGTTTATTTTGAAAATTAAAGAAGATGAATATTGTGCTTTTCTTAGAATCTCTGCTTTTTGATATGACACTTTTTCATCAAAATAACTCTACTAAATGTTAAACTTTTAACGTTAGAAGAATATTTTTTATGTAAGATTGTGTGCAGCATTATTTGACTATTATTTCACCATTCGAAGCTGACAATTTGAAAAGATAGATTCTCGCTAAAGCCGGAAATAAATGAATAAAAAGAAAAAATTAATTGAATGATAACTGATATTAGTTAGCCGGAATAAGACCCAAATTACATAACCATAAATTTTTTAATCCTGCATAAAACAAGTATTCTCTGGTCAATTTTGATTTTCATAGAAAGGATATGAGCTAGATTTGAATATGAAGACTAGTAAAGAGTGGAAAATTTCACACTGCGCATTGAAGTGTAGAAACGGTATCCCATCCTATCGCTCTTCCTAAATTCCTCACTGAATCTAAAGCGAAATTTTCATCCCCTAAAAATGAATTACTTTAGAGCGCTACACATATGAGTTATATGTAAGTACATACATTACATCTTCCTCGGCATCTGTTATAAACTAAGATATCTTAGTGGATCTTTTAGTAAAAGTGGGGCTGAGCCGGGGATTGATCCCGGGACCTCTCGCACCCTAAGCGAGAATCATACCACTAGACCACTCAGCCTTGTCCCAGTGGGTTTCCACACTTCATTTCATCCCTGGAATATCTCAGTACTTGAAGACCGAATTATAGTAATAGGGATGGTTCACGCGTTCTATAAGGTCACAATTGTGTCACTTTGTATGGTTAATGTTGTTGAGGACACACGTTCCCTGCCTGCTTTATCCGCTTGAGGGCTAAGTGTGCGTGACACATATATATGTGGCGTCTCCACCTCCTTCCTTCAAATTCCTTTTAGAAACCACGCAGGCTCCATCGAGCTTTTTCATCATGCAAATTGATAAGATAAAGGATTCTGGAATCCAGATCATGGCGAGGATCTATTTGCCCTGCTGTGCCTTTAATAAATCGGCTCCTCAACACTACCTACGGCACATGTGTGTTAACCCATCACTAATGACCTTATGATTTCAATTGCAAATATAATGATTACCACGCATTCCATAGCACAAATGATTACTTATCTATTAAAACATTTATGATGATATGATAAGGAAGAACTCGTGAAGTCAGAAGAAGCTATTTCGTAAGACGGCCAGATACCTGACTTCCTGCATTAAGTTGACCCAATAAATAATATGGTCAAATCAAAGGATCCGTGGTATTATCAAATTTTGCATCTCTACTCCATCACTATCAGTCATGCATTTCTCAAGTCCGAAATCAGGTTTTGATATTTCGATGAGGATATCATCTCGTTTTAGATTTTATGTCAGACTTTGTAGTTTAGCTCAACCTTGGTAATAAAGTTGTACAACGAAACTGCCGTACGCCTAACATGCCACATTCTTCGATCATTTTATCCTTCACACATACGTAATATATATGTATATTATTTTACTCCATCAAACCATGGTACAACAAAAGTTCAGAGTTTAAAAACTGATGAAATAACATCAAACAAAATGAAATCATTAAATAAATAACAAAATTAACAAGAAAACAGGAAACCAAATCCACTGTCATCAGCCTATTTGAACTTCAACAAAATACGCAAGTAGGTCAACAAAGTACTAGTGTTGTAGCTATAAAATTTATTCCTCAAAAATCTATGCGATTCATGAACTGAAGTATGTAACATTGAAAGAATCTTCTATTCTTTACAAAAAGTCCAATTCTTTTCTTCAAAATCTTTGAGAATGGATAACGAGCAAACATTATTTCTGCTAGTTAGACATTACTGAAACTTGTCTTTCAACAAAGTACTCATCCTTAACAGCAGTTTACTCCATTGCAACAAGTATCGCGCTACCATATAAAAAAATCTTATAGGCTCTCCATTACACCCCACCTTCTGTCACAACAACAATCATTTCTCCATTTTCAAATTACCTCAGCAGAAACAAGTACCAGACTAATTTAGGAAAAGAAATAGGTGGAATGTCGTACAGCATCCAGATCAAGCACTCCTTGTCGAACTTTTGGTGTGAATATTTTCCGAAGTTCTTGGAATTCTTCGCTTAACATGACAGTACGTAACCAGTTCGGTAAATATTTTTGGCGAAAGAACTAGAAAAATGAAACCTGCTAAAACAAGAAATCAGAGAATAAGGGTTAACGGAAGAAAATAAATATTGAATCGTTTCAAATCTCACCTCTGCGCATTGCTTTATTAGTGGCTCGTTATGCAACTGCACGAACTGTTCCCGACATATCTTATTCATTTGATCCACCTCACAGGCATGAGTCCAATAGCAATCATGTACCGCTGCGAATGTTATACCTAGTCGTCGGCAATATAAAGCAGTTAACATCATATGTGTTGAATCCAACGAATGCACGAAATTTGGGGGAAATGCGTTTACCTGTAAAATAATTTTTTATTTCTTAAGGAAAAATGAAGCTTTTTATAAATACAACTGACTCCCGCCTTTGTTCATTTATCAATCCTGCTTGTGATAGACTTATTCAAGCTCATGTTCGCAAAATCACCAATCAACGTTTCACCGATTTATAAAAAAATCCTGTTCATGAATCTTATGTTAAATGAATTGAAGCGATAAAGATACCTGTTTAACGGATTTAGGTAGGCGATAAACTTTATTTTCTTCCATTTTCGTTTCTAAATAAGGTTGATAAACTGGTAAACCTAGAGGTGTAATCCACTCCACTGTATGCATAAGTTTTACAATTGCTTCCGCACAATTGCGAAACCAATCTTTCATTTTCCTGGAATGAGAAATGAAGAAAGTGAATAGAATAACAATCATCCAAAAAGGAGAGCTGAATGAAAGTATCATACATTGAGCTAGTAAAAGCGTCGTTTAGACTTCGAAATGTTCTGTCCGCCAAATAGGTCGCGTACTTCATGCGCTAAAAATCGAATAAACAAGTAGTAAAGTTGAAGAAAACTTATTTCTTAAAATTAAATTGCTTCATAGTATATTGTTTCCTAGTTAAACAAACAGCCTAAAATGCAATACTTCATCCGAATCTATTCCAATCGCTTTCAGCTGCCTTTCGATTTGTCTTCGTGCTCCGTTCATTGTTACGCCATAAACAGTGGTCATTACTGTCTGTTTTATCACCTAAACAGCATTATGTAAACTCATTTCTGGCAGATAATTTTGTCACGTTTTAGTAAGTTTCACGAAATCTGACTTAACACACCTTCCTCGAAACAGGATCTGGCATAATGGCACGCAGCGACAAGGCCAAATCGCGAACTTCAGAATCGAGACTCCGCTCATCCTCCAAACGTTTCTGCTCTACTCTGAAATATGTATTATATCAACTTTATAGAATATCACACTGATAAACTAACTTAACTAAAATTCCTAAACAGTAAGAATGGCATACCTAACAGCAACACTGGAATAAACATCAGATGGTTTTTCCGCTGGCACTAAATTCACTTCCTTTCCACCTTCTTGATCCCTACCCAATGCTGCATAATGCTGCAAACCATTGCATGAACCATCTTGATATACCGGTAAATGACTAATGAAAGTCGTCGGATCACCTGCAAAAGAATGAATCTCTCAAAGAAAGCAATAATGGAATAAAGCAGTAATAGAACATATATCAACTCAGACTGCAAATCAGAATGGGCAAAAGAAGCAAAGAGATAGTTTAAAAAATAAGAAAGTGTTTTCTGCAGATCATTTTCTACTTATGATGAGTCAGCATCCCATTACGCCCTTCCAAAAACACCAAATTAATTCAAATGCATCCAAAAACACCAAATTAATTCAAATGCTCCCAAATAAAAAAAAAACGAGGTTGACGGCAAAAACTTAATATAATGAGGAAGAAATAACTCAGATTATATTCCCTTCTAAACAATGATCTCATTACAGAGCTTAAACAAATGCAACAAGTAAAAATTGCGATCAGTTTGAAAGCTCTAAGGATGACTAATAAAAAGGATTAGTCAAAAAGGGATAACATGGAAAACTTTGATCAAGAATAATGGATAAAACATTTATAAATACAGGAGAGTTCATACGACTATAGTACGCCCACTAAAACAGTGATATTGGTTGTGTATTGTCCAAAGATCATTTTAAATCATCAAAACATTGAAAGGAATAGTAAACGTATTCGTTAGGTTTCAGTAGAAAACTTACCAGTTTGTAAAGCATTTCTAATTTCAATACACGCAGATAAAGTCTGCCACGGTTCTTCTGATTTCGTCCACCACATTTCACCTAGATGTAACATGAATTGAATTTCCAACTTCCAAAATAAATCTATGATATTATCAATGCTACCATTACCTGATAAGGGACTATTCGCACTTTCCAGAATTTTTGGCAGCATTTCATCAGCGTATACTGCACGAGTGAAATTCGACTCTTTCTTTAAAATACCCGTCAAATTTATACAATGAAGTTTCAGCCACTGCAAACCATCATCACCCAACGGTCGACCTAAAATTTGCCACTCTCGACTTTAACCTTATGGACTTTTACTGTCAACGTCATATTTATTATAAATGTCACAGTCTCGTGAAAAAACGTGCCTTCCGCAAAAACCAACAGTGAACGATTTAAATCATCTCCCATATGATTTAGGTATGGAGTTATTGGATATACACGTCCCCGAAAATCCATACTGTGTGGAAAGAAAAGAACACTTCCTTTAAAGTGGCTTGCCATTGTCAAACGATAAAGCAACCAGCACCATAATGAATTTAATTCGTTTCTGAAAGCTAATAATAATCAGGAGTTTGGTGTTTCCGCCTTTTCTTTTTGAACTCTGTTTTCTCCACATTTGGATTTAGCTCGTTTGCATATCACGAAAATATAGAAATGGAGATCAAAATCGTAAGTGTAATAGAGAAATATAAAGCAATTTAGACACATGTTAAGCTAAACGATAAAGAGCCAACAAAACTGTTAACAAAACTGTGAGAAGTTAATTTTTGAAATTAAAACTTCTTTCGAATACATAAAATTCTTGAAAATTTATAACATTTCTCTGAATAAAGAACCTTTTTTTCATGGCTTCATATTTCGCTTTTGAATACTCTCTCCATTCATTTATCGGTAACTCCTCTATTCCCACATTTCCGAATTTAGCTACGTAATCTGGTATCAAAACTCGACTCGGATGAATTGGTATCGATAACTTCTCCAAAAACTCCTCATTTGCTTTCGTTTGAGCCATTTCAAAAACCTGAAGCCTAGAACTGCGAAAAGATGTTAGAATACAGAGCAATTCAACAGCGAAAACAGAGATGTGTATCAGTTAAAACCAAAAGCATCTTACCTTAAGAGCTACATCAAGAACAGGCTCATTTATTTTCCATGGCGTAATACCCAAATCATTTAGTGCATCGAAAACTGGTCGACCTTGTTTGCTGGAATAATTTTCGGATACTGATATCAGTTACTACTTAAAATACAATTCGAAATTTATGAAATATCTAAAATCTTACCGTGACTTTAACCGTTTTTTCATCTCATAATTCACGTTAATCGTTGAATAATCGGGATGTGCTCTCAATACATTGAAAGAAGACCCGTAATACGGCCCACCTTCTCCAGAATCTAACCATGGCCGCGGAGGTACCTATTTTAGTTTGAATGAATTAAAAACAATAGAAAATAAAGAACATGAATTTGAAGAGAAGTTAAAATAAGCATTAACACTCTTGTCTATTGTCACTAACGAGTAGAGACCGCAGGAAGTGCTTCACTTCTTAATAAATCTTTTTTTCCTCATAAAGCTCATATTTTCTCAAAATTAAGAAAAAATTAAGAAGAAATGAGTGAACAGGAGGTCAAAAATCAGCCAAATAATGATCAAACAAGAGCTAATATAGTTTGACAAAATATACTTATACTGTTCTAGCATAGCACAAACGTTGGACAAATGGATAATAAATTTACACGGATTGAAATATTATGCATACTGCATGATACACTACTTACATGAATGGCCAGACTCAAAGATGCTACGAGACTAGTAAACTAACTTCCATAGGCAATAAATCAGTAGGAAAAACCATCCACTCAAATTGATGCTTGCTCACAACTTCCATCATTGCGCTACATATTTTTATCATTTTCGTTACACACAAAACATCCCCATCAAGAGAACTTTCTTCATTAACAACGTCTTTATAAGAGAACACCGGAATGGATATAATCTTCCCATGATCACCTGCAAAATGATGTAATATCCTGAAAAAAAACATTTTTTTTTCTTGATTTTTTTACTAAATTTCAAAACTTTATCACATACCTTTAATATGTACTTCGCATGCTTCCAAAATGACAGATGTTAAAAACGAGCCAAGCTGTTCACGTATTCCAGATCCAAAATCAGCACATGGAAGTTTCAATTGAGGACTTAAGTGCATTTGAGAGGCACAATGCATCCACCATTCGCGTACAGTGTATTGCCGTGAAATTTCTGCATTCAAAAAGTATTTGATGTAGTCAGAAAAGATTTCGTCTTGCATCTGAAACAATACAAAAAATGCCGATTAATAAAATCCACATGCAGAAAAAATTTTGCTCAAATAACATTGTGCCAAATAACGATACTTACCTTAGTTATGTTTTTTGACACTTTTTGCAGAAACATTTGGCCAATAATGTTCAAAATGGGACTTGCTAAACAATAGCGAAATGTAGTTGCTGGAACTAATTCTTCACCTTGGGCACATATTGACATTACTGTTGATAGAATAAGTGAAGTGCAAGTTCTCAAATCCACAACGCTCATGAAATCTTTCACTGCAAAACTATTATCAGTATTTATTCAAAAACCCTAAAATATGTGGGAACCAACACAATTTTTTCACATCCCGCTATAAACAGCAAATTAAATAACTTACAGGGATACTGTCGTAATTCTTCTACACGTAACGTCAAGCATTCTAATATGATTTTATGCCAGTTCCATCGTTTAATTAAACCTTCCACCGAAATTTCATCTGACTTTCGATTGAAATTTTTTACAAATAAATAACGATCGGCTTCTCTTTGTAACTGCTCAGCAAATTTCTTTGCGTACTCATCCTTAACAGCAGTTTACTCCATCAATGAAAAACATTTATCAACAATTTAGTTTATTAAAAAAAACATACCTTTGCAAAAATGATATTGGAATATGGCGATCCATGATATTCATTCTTCGAAGCAGGCTCATGCAGACCACTGACAAGTTTGAGGTCCTGAAAAAAATCATCTCTGCAATTTTCAAGTGCTCCTCATAGTAGTTCAGAAATGTATCAAGTATTAAGACGGTTGTTTTGACATAGAACTTACAGCTATTTCAAGGAAATATTAATGCTTTTACCTTATCGTATGGCCATTCCTTCTCTTCATCCCTGTAGACAACGTTTTTGCCAAAAAGTTCACGCTCTCGAAAACGAATCACCACTTGATCCTCATCAGTAAACAAGAAACGATTGTAAAATCGTGGTAAGGAACCTAATCCAGCCTGAATGCATCATAATGAACACTTCAAAAATTTGTATTTCACTTAAGTTGTAACTGATGCTCCAACATAATGTATTTAAATTCAAGATATTTATCAAAAAATCGAAATCAACCTGGGAAGTTAATTTACGTCTCAGTTCAATGTGCACATCGTCGATATCATTCGATTTTCCATCAATTGTTCGAATTCCGATCCATCTTTCAAAACGATCTAGAAGAAGTATCCAGGCTGCTTTTGTATCATCTCCTTGTATTGGCATTTGCTCCATTAAATTTGCTAATGAGAAAAATAGCTGTAAAGGCTCCCGTGAGTTAGCTAATGACTGATTTCTCGAATAGTGACTATACTGACGAGCAACCAGCAGCAATGTAACACTGAAGATCTGAAAAGAAAAAAAAATGCAAAACTTCAATTCCTAATTATTACGGGTAATTGAAAAGCAGAAATTTTGAAATCACGCGAAGCTTAGAAAATCTGAACCAGCAAAGCGCAACGTTCAAACATAGAAGATACCTCATCATCTTCCCGGTCCGCAAGCGACTTTTCACTGAGGGAATCGAGATAAGCATGTGTGTAAGCAACCAAATTTTTGTAATCATCTCTGAGCGCGTACCTGCAGGAAAAACAATAATGACAATAAAAGTGCTATAGAAACAGTTACCGAATATATAGTTAAAGAAAGATCGAATGTAATATTATTTCCACTATACATGATTAAGCTAAAAGAAAAACAGAAGAAAAGGATTAAAAAAAAAAGCATTTTGTTCTATATTATACCGGATCAGTGATAGCTTCATTATAACTATTTAAAGGATGACATTAGCAAAGGATATCCCACTGCCACAATAAATATTTAGCGAACTGCCATGGGAAATCGTCGACGATGATGAGTGCATGCGCTACATGTAAGAGAGTCTTACCGAATCAAATTACACTGTGCCGTGTTTCGTTTTACCAATTCACCGTACCGTTTATATTCGCTTCTCAATTCCCTTACAAGGAGTGCTTTTGTCCGATCTTTCCACGTTTTTTTTTTTACAGCTTTTTCTTTTCCCGTTGCTTTTGCGATTGGTACACTGACTAAAAAGAAATAAGGTGATGACAATAAGCTATCTTACTAACCACACCTGCCGTTTAAAATGTTGAGTGTAGTGAGTAGTGCATAAACAAAGTAACTATAAGGTGTACCATTCACGGTTTATGTACCACTTACGAGACGTTATTTTAAATTCAGATAGTTGGATTCTACCACTTACACTTACACAATGTCAACCCTTCTGGAATGAAACGATTCTTTTAACCATTAGGCTACAAACTGCATAGTGTTGAAAGCACTTGGTGGGATAGTATCTTCAGAGTATACCGGTATACCGGATTATGTAATTCTAAAAGTGCGGGAATAGTAATCGAATACTGAGGAAAGAGAATATTACCAGCAGATCTCCTCGATTCGGTCATATGACGGTTCACTTTCTGGATGACTTGCTCGGCCCACTTGAACTGTTTCAATACACGGAAATACTTCATCTAAAAGTAAGGGACCCATCAAAGTCATCTTCTATCCCATCTCTATTCGCCACGCTACCAGAAATCACGTCGCGAAATTATCTTCAACTCCTAAGACTAATTTACGCTGGCTGCCCAACCGGAAATCTAACGAAATACTGTGGAATTTTGGAGACAAGCAGTCGTCTCCTACTCCTCCTTCTCAATCCTGCTCACAATTTTTCTGCTACTTATCTTCTTCCGTACTTTTTGTCAAGAGTTGAGTCGTCGAACCTCTCCTAATAGTCCACATCACTCTCCAATCTCAGCAACGCCTACTCTTCCTCATCCATTACCATACTATTTCCTACTTACCATTCATTACTGCCATCTTGCGGGAGATTTGATTTCTTGAGCATTTTCAATTTCAAATTATTCGCTATCCTTACATTAAGAAGCTAGATGACAAATTTCGACAACCCGGGATTGTTTTATCAGGTCAGTTGATAGTTCTATAATTCTGATATTATTTGAAGGGAATAAAACAGACCAAGTGATTTCTACATTGCTCTTCAGGAACGATTTTTTGCAGCGAATGATGTGCAAGATGAAGGACGCGAACTAATTGCCGAGCATAAGGAAACCGTCGAACTATTCCGGAATTTTATCCGTGAATACAATGTTGGCGGATTTGGTCTCGTTTACAGGTAATCACCAAATTTCTCATTTTATCAGCAAAAAAATTTCGAAAATGATCTTGAAAATAATGCAGTATTTTCGTCTCTTCAAAAAAATCGAATTCTCCAAGAAATTTTGATTGAAAGTGATTCATATATTTTTATTTTTGACTAGAAGAAAGAAAGTTTCAGGGATCAGTTGAAAAGGAATTGTAGTCTTGGAAAACATCATGTGGAAATATCAATAGATGATTTGAAGGGTTTCAGTGAACCATTAGCCAACAAATTACATCAGTATCCTGCACGATTCCTCACCGCAGTACGCTATCGAGATTTTTCCTGTTCTCTTTATTGGTATCAGTTGCGATCATTTTAATCTTAGCACCTTGCAGCTTGAAGAGGCGGCGAAACTTGTTGCTGATGAAGTAATGCAAGGTGTGGCGGATATGGCTGAAATTCATGATATACAAGTGACACTTCATACCGGCGAGCTTGCACACAGTATTCGACAATTGAAAGTGGGTCATCTTGAAGGCTTTTAAACATTAAGTTTCTTTTTTCCCATGAATAAATTATAACATCTCCGTGATGTCATCATCTAACCTTTCTCTTTGCAGAGTGCCCAAGTATCTCGTTTGGTCAAAATATCCGGTATTATAGTCGCCGCATCACAAGTGAAAACAAAAGCCACTCGTATTTCGATTCAGTGCCGAACATGTCGACATATCGTAACTAATCTTAGTTTGAAGCCTGGACTCGATGGTTTTACATTGCCACGCAGTTGTGGAGCGTAATATTTTGCTCATTTCCTTCTCAATGCTTTTTTACGTATATTTCTTGGTAACGTTATTATAAAAGATTTCAGTTTCATATATAATAAATTTGCTGGTTTTGCAAATTGTTAAGGAGAATCTCTTACAAATTCTAATAATTTTATTCAGCAATCAGATCGCTCAACTGCAACGATGCCCCATTGATCCTTATCATATCATGCCCGACAAGTGCCACTGCATTGACTTTCAAACGTTGAAGCTTCAGGAAAATCCGGAAGATGTGCCTCATGGAGAAATGCCTCGTCATATGCAACTTTACTGTGATCGGTTGGTTCATGCAGCTATTTCAATTTCTAGAAGTTCAGGCAATCTATGCACATCCATCGAAAATTGATATTGTCGACTTTCAGTTTTAGGCTTTTTTTATATGAAAATAAGAATCAGAGGCGTGATGTTTTTTATTTTTGTCATATTATTTAAAGTGGAGAAATTTTAATACTTTACCAAAGTTTCGCAGGTTTTTAAAAAATTTGTCTGATAATGCTCTTTCATTGATTTACAGTCATTTAACAGACCGTGTTGCACCCGGAAATCGCGTTATGATTGTTGGCATATATTCAATCAAACGGATGTTCCAGAAGCAGGTAAAAAAAATTCATTATTACTGAGGGTCTGAAAGATGAGACCAAGTTTTTTTTTTTCATTCGACTTAGTTTTCCAGAAAACAACAGATAAGACGCTCTCAGGCATTCGTGCACCGTACATTCGTGTACTTGGAATCCATGTGCAAACGAGTGGTCCAGGACGTGCTGAACAGCGACAATTCACAGTTGAAGAAGAGAAAATATTCAAGTATTTTGCTATTTTGTGAATTTAAGATCAACCATTGATAAGTGAAAGTGAAATAAACAGATACGAATGTTATAGAGATCTGTCCAAGAAAGTGAATATATATGATCTAATCTCTCAGAGCATTGCTCCATCGATTTATGGTGCAGAAGATATCAAGAAATCAATCGCATGCTTGCTGTTTGGCGGTTCACGCAAAAGGTTCTTATTAGATCATGTGTTACTGTGAACTTCTTAATTTACATTACATTGTTGTTTAGACTACCTGATGGATTAACTCGACGTGGCGACATCAATATTTTATTGCTAGGAGATCCTGGTACTGCGAAAAGTCAGTTATTGAAATTCGTAGAGAAGGTATCTTTTTTATTTGAAATAACGTTTAGAATTCTCGTATCATTCCACCATTAATTTGAAATTACTGGAATGATATTTTCTGGAAAATTAGAAATGTTTTTGAATGCTACTAACTTATGTGCTGTTAAGGTTGCACCGATTGCTGTCTACACGTCAGGTAAAGGTAGCAGTGCTGCTGGGTTAACTGCTTCTGTGAATCGCGATCCGCAGTCGGTATTTTTCTTTGCTATTGTTCAACTAAAAATCTTTTCTGATTATACAAAAATATTGCCTTACGCTTATAAGTATTTTTATTTATCAAGCTTTAGCGATCATTTATAATGGAAGGTGGCGCTATGGTACTTGCCGATGGTGGCATCGTTTGTATCGATGAATTCGACAAAATGAGAGAAGATGATCGAGTGGCTATCCATGAAGCAATGGAACAGCAGACAATCAGTATCGCCAAAGTATGAGTAACTATCCAATATTGCAATTTTTTAATTGGTGAAGAAAAGTTGAGAAATGCGAATTAAATGGTTAAAAAGCAACTGTGGAAGATGATTTCTTTATTAGGCAGGCATCACTACGACGCTTAATTCGCGTTGTTCCGTATTAGCAGCAGCAAATTCAGTATATGGCAGGTGGGATGATTCAAAGGGTGATGAGAATATCGATTTTATGCCAACGATATTGTCACGATTTGATATGATTTATATTGTCAAGGACACTCACGACGTCACGCATGATACGGTAAACATCACGTCATCAAATTTCAAAGAGAAAATCTATTTATAAATGAAAATTTCTCATATGAATTTTTTTGATAAGAACGCGACTGCAAATCAGTCACTATGTGTATCACTATCGCAGACTACGCTTCATTGCTTCTTTATCGGATACGTATGTTTTAAATGCGCAATTGTCGACATGATCATAGCAACCGCTTTTGTCGTTAATTACTTAACGACTTTTAGCTTCCAATTTTTGTAGTTTCCAGATAATTTTTCTTTTTTTTTCTATTGGCAAAATTTTTTTTCTATTGGTAAATTTTTTCTATTGACAAAATTTTTATTGCAGACATTAGCTAAACATGTTATTTCGGTACACGTAAATGCTTCCAATAATCGTCTGCAAGAGGCGGCTGTTGAAGGAGAGTTGTCGTTAGAGCTGTTGAAAAAGTTTGTTTCGTATCCTTCTTTTTTATAATGTTTTTACTTTTAACAAAATCTTGTTATTCTATTCATGCATTCAGGTACATTGCATATTGCCGCGTTTCATGTGCACCACGACTCTCAGCTACTGCAAGTCAGAAGCTTATCCATAATTATGTCCGACTTCGCAATCCTGTTATAGACGTTGAGCATAAACGTAGGTTGCTTAAAAAGTCTTCCACTATTTAAAATATATTTTTTCCAACCAAATTGAACGAAATACATGCAAAGTGAAATTTTTCAGAGACAACAGCTCGGTCTGCTATTCCAATAACTGTGCGACAGTTAGAAGCTATAATACGAATAAGCGAATCATTGGCAAAAATGGAGCTGATCCCTTTTGCTGCAGAACGTCATGTGGATGAGGCACTTCGTCTTTTTCGAGTTTCTACCATCGAAGCAGCTGCATCTGGGAATTTGATTGGTATATTTTTATTTTGAATGCCTGGTAAAACTTGATAGAAGCACCTGGCAGCTGTGCATTCTTAGGATTGATCGATGTCTTGCTAATATTTATTTTGCGTATTATTTGAAATTATCCATTCAAATATGGAACTATTTTCGAACACAATGATAGATTTGAATGCGTGACATTTCATAAACCTGCAGAAATTCCTTTGTTTTTCCATGTCTATAAGAGATCTTGAAACTTATTAAAAAGCGCTTATACTAGGCATCGAAGGTTTTACCAGCGTTGAGGACCAAGAATCGTTCAGTCGTATTGAACGTCAGCTGAAGAAACGATTTGCATTGGGAACTCACGTCTCTGAATATCTTATTGTCCAAGACTTCGTACGACAAAATTATCCAGAAATGATTGTCAAAAAAGTATATATATTAAACTACTAAATATGTATTACAAAATTAACGTGACGTACTTTGCCGCCATACAATATAAATACTTGACCACAAGAAAATAAATATCTGGCCGATGTTCTCATGTGCCAATCTAGATCGTAAGGAAGCAGTTCATATTCTATCAACGTTCTTTTACTGAGTTCAGTAGGGAAATTGCTCTTATTCATCGTAGCAATCATGTTCATCAACAATTTTTCAATTTTTTTTTCCAAATTCAAAAGAATTGGAATTTTTTAGGTGATTCAGTCATGCATTCGGCGTGGTGAACTTCAGTACCGTATGCAGAGAAAAATGCTGTACCGTATTAAATGATCTTATGTAGCTTCATATGTTGTTCATATCTTTATATGTAATTTTCTATAAACTGGCTCATTTCAAGAACACGATGAAATTTTATCTCAAAATTGTTTTTCTCAAAAAACCGCATATCTTGTTAGTATTTCATATTTTTGTACTTGTAACACTAAAGAGAAGATTTTCCATAAATGATCTTTTTGTGATTTGTAGTTGATAAGAGATTAGTATGGTAAACTGCTGCCATTCGATATTGCCTGAAAAATGGATCTAACGAAGAAAGCTAAAGTAAATCTTACAATTTCTTAATAAAATCTTTTTGGTTTGTTTTATTACTTGCCTGAATTGTTGAGATTTGTTTCATCTTGTTACTTTTTTCGGTATTTCCGTTGAGTACTGTATCGATCTGGAACAAAAGTAAGTTAAATGAGATGGTAATTGTTGCAAAATAAGCCTTCTTCAATTTGCTATATAACGGATAATCCAAAATTCACAAACTTGAAAATCAGTCGACAATTTATCCTTTGCAAGCTGATGATTTGTCTATTATTCTACTTTGCACTTACATGCGATACGGTGTAGACGCCCCACAATGCTGCGCTTGAAATATAAATTGCGATCATGAATAGCCTATTTGGTTCGCTGTAGAAGTAGTATGCCGTTACAGTCATACATCGCAATACTTCCTGGTATGATGCATAAATCCTGGAAGTATTTTCATACTAAGGTTTAGATTTGAAGTTCGAATGCTTTTGGGAATAGCTTCGGAATAAAAAAAAAATAGTTTGCCTCTAATCTTTCCTTTACTTGACCTTTTCTTCATTGTGACCCACAGTCTTGATATAATCAACAAACTTAATCAGCGTTGGTAAGTCTGAAACGAAACCTTTCTAGGACAACACTTCGTGTAGTCGCAAATTCATTTTTCTTTTTTAAGATAAACTGTCATTTCTCTTTATGATTCCCCGCCCAAATAATATCAGTGCAATTGTTTTATCTCTTTCGGAATGTCAATGCAATTGCTTTTATCTCTTTTATCTTTTTCGAGATCACGTCGACACAGTCCCTTCCATCATATGACGATACAGGGGTGCTATAATCTCCTCTGCATTATTTGGCGCCATGTTTCTCTCTAGCAGCACTATAACTTCATGTAATAACCTAAAAAGTATCGATGCATAACGAGATGTTCAATCGGGAAACTTGAACTAGTCTGACCCCGAGTTTTTCAGCATTTCCGCTGTAGCTGAATTTCTTGCCGGGGTAATGACGGACCGATACATGATAATGATGAATCCGGACCCTTTCTATTTCACCATAAACTTTAATCCATCCCTTGCCAATGGCTTGTACCGTTTGTAACGTACACGAATTGGTTGGTGTATAATATGTTGCTATTCCTGCACAGCGGTTTTGAAGTTGAACTAATTATTTTCGCGTCATACCGGCGTGAATCGAAAAGATTCAGTGGGGAGGATTTAATATAGAATCCCGTGCGTATGTTCCAAGCAGGCTTAGAAACATTTTTTTATGAAGCGAAATATCGTAATCTATAAACGCATAAAGAGTAACAAGCAACAAACTTGCGGTCGAAAAAAGCTCCCAGGCATTGGATCGTTGTGATGAAGAATGCTAATTTGAGAGTGAAAACGAGATAGGACAGTTGGCTGCGATCGAATTCGAAATGGAAAAATGCGGCTAACAGGAGTAGAAAATGTCCAAAGCAGTATATCTTTTTCCATGTAGGAATTTCTGGATTGTAGTGGATTACCTCATTTTCAACCTGGATTATTTGGTTCGCATTCATTTAAGCAAAGTTACAAACCAAAGGTTTTGCAAGTTCCAAGAACCAGGAAATGTGGTAGCTGTTATCCACTCCTTCATGAAAATGAAAAGTCGAGTTAATTGAATCCAAGAAGTCTTTTAAGAGTTGAATCTGACTCACCATTGGGATGCCTTCTTTGTGGTCAACCATTGAAAACCAATGGAAGTACCGCCGCACTTTCATGCCAGGCGTATATATTGGTGGATAGTAAATGGCCTTCAACTTTTCAATTCCTTGAAAAATCCATTCGCCTTCTTCTGTCTTCATTCTCCACTTGATAAATAACAGCTCATACAAGGTGTGAAACTGGAAAATATTTGATATAAGAAATTTGACTTTATAATTTAAGCAGTCGTTGAAAGGTTTTATACGTACATGACCCAAATCCAAAGGATATCTGCCGAATTCGTGCAATGCGATTTAATGTTGAATTATAGTATTATAAATTCTTTTAATTTAAATTTAATTTACATTCTTACCGCATGCATAAGTTTCTAGTCAAATTTGAATTTCGCTTTAAAATGCGTCTTCAATTTTGAATATATTTTGAGGTAGTTAAAATATACAAAACAAGACCTGGAGATAAATCTGATTGAAAGTTTTTTCCCGGTTAATGGTGCCATAAACCGGTTTTTCAGATTGATGTTCCGGCTCGAAAGTACCGAACATTTTGTCCCATATGATAAACACGGCTGCATAATTACGATCAATGCAATATGGATTACGACCATGGTGAACACGGTGATGAGATGGCGTATTAAGGATAATTCCCAGCCTGCCGTAATTATCAAATAACTGCAATTGTTAGAAGTTGTAAGTGATCTGTTTGTTACTTATGCAATGCCTATGATCTATTGTATGACAAATGGACTTTTATTTAGCTAAAAAGTTTAGTTTTGGACTTAAAAGTGCGGAAAAGTCATGCTCCCTTATAGCAATGTATTCAACATACAGAATGTTGCACTCGCTTGCTTGCTACGTCAATATGAATTAATGGAAAGCATTCCGCATTGTCATCTGAATCTCTTGTATGTGGTAGTGCAGATCAAGGAAACGGAAAAATGCGGTATCAGCTAAACACTTATTTTTCTTACTTTATTCATTAAATGCTACCACTAAAATTAACCATATTTGTTGTCAAGAATTCTTTATTATTATTGAAAGCTAAATTAAAGAAGTATACAGTGGTATGCAATGTAAATTGATAAATCTCGCTAAAGTATCGGTGAACCAGAAATATCGATGGCGGTATGAAAAATGCCTGTAAAACATCGTAGATGGCAAGTCCAACATCTAGAAAATAGCACATTATTAAAACTTCGGTGATACCGAAGGTTGATGCTGATTTATAAGGAATTGTTCAATGAATAAAAAAGGGAAATGCGATTGATATTTCGCTTTCCGATGGCTCGGTTCGCTTCAACGTCCGTCGATATTTGTGTGATAGTGCTGGAATGCTAACCTTGAATAGCAGCTTGTCGCAAAGCTGTTGTATAGTTAAAATATTCGGAGCTGTGATGTATCGTATGAAGTCCCCAAAAAAAACCAATCTGTAGAAAAGAAAACTTTGAAATAAGCTTAGGAATGCTATTTTAAATAGAAGTTATGAAGTTCTAAAGGGATTAGCAAAACTTGGAGTGAATGAATTGAAAGAGACGTATCATGAACAGCACGGTGTCCAAGATAATACATGAAATCTTGGAAAAACAGGCAAGAAATCCAAGTTAATGTTGAATCCCACGAGTTTTCGATTAGTCGAAAATTATTCCAAATGTAATCATAAACAAATATTGTAATCGTCCTGCCGCCAAACCTATAAAATTCTGGGAAAGTTCTCGAGTAATTCTCATTACAAGCAGCTTTTTTCTGCATATTCATTTTGTTTTCGGTTTTTTTCAATTCAATTGTTGTCAGCTGCTTTCTTAATTAAATAAATGAACTTTTGATTTAGTTTTAAAAAAGGAAAAACTTGATCAGCAACATGTAACATAATTTGGCCTTAGATTAAATTCCAACATCACTGGTTTGTTTGCCAAATTACTGTGAGTAGTTCAATAATCATTTGGCACCGAACACTAGTACCTGGAGGGCTCTTCTGTTCGTCGCTACTGCTTAGTTAAGATGGAATAGGCTTTGACTCCAAGGTAGTACAGGTTTTCCACGATTTATTTATTCCTAATTCATTCATCTTTTAACAATGGGCTGTTTTCATTAAAATATTTCTCTCTACTATTATGTTGTAGTCTTCAAAGTGCAAATATGGTTAAAACTTCAACTGTCATCAATTTCAGGCATAAATTTAAATTCTGCAAGTTCTGATCTTCTTTTACCAGAAATGTAAAGAGAGAAGCTGTTAAAATGAAATGATCAAGCAAAAAGACACTTATTTGATGGAATTCTTGACAAGTTTTGATATCTGATTACCAGATATCTGATCACCTCAATCAATGAAGAAAAGTTGAGAGAGTAGTTGCTATTTTGTTCGAATTCCATTAGTTGTCAATTACTTTATTTACTTTATTTTATTTTATTACTTTACTTTATTACTTATTACTTTACTTTACTTTATTACTTTACTTTACTTTACCTTACTTTACTTTATTACTTTACTCGAACTAATTCCATTACTTGTCGATTAATTCATTTTTTTCCCAAGAAATGTAAGAAAATTCACTTGAAACATTGTGAGAGAATACCGGCAGAAATTGATGTAATAGAATCATTGAGAGCAAATCGATCTCCATGTCCGCGCAGCAACAACAAGCAAAATTCAAGTGCGATAAATAGTAACCACCAAAGACTGACCTATAAGCTGATGAGCATTTAACGAGAACTTTCCATTTCCAATATCAATATCAGACTTCAAGTTTTTGAAGATACGGAAAAGCATTGAGGCAGTTTCTACGTTTAAAACTAATGGTTAAAATCAGTTATTAGCTTGCTTAAGTCCTTCGCATAACTCTTAATATAGAATTTCATCCAGTAAGGGATGACCTCTAAGGGCTGACTTACTACATATCTTTTGCATTGCGAGGAAAATGCATCCAAACAATGTAGTGGGAAATACATCTTTGAGAATTTTCGGGATACTAAGAGTGATTGTTTGCATGAAGATGTACAGAAATAAACTAAGACATCATTGTGGAAATAAGTAAGTGCAACTTTTGACAAGAGACATCTCTATCAAGCCTACAGTTGAATTGACATAACAATATTGATATCACCTGGGCAGTATAGTTAGGTACTTGATCCACAGTCTCGAACATCGTTTCATTTGGTGTAATCAAATAATATATATGTCGTAGATTGTTCAAGTTAAGACGATATAACATACGTTGGCCTAGCAAAGTGTTGGAAACGATGTAATTCAGCCATATACTGGTATTATTTGTCGATATTGTTGATGCTGACATTATCAGTGATAATAAAGAGTGGAAGTGGAACAAAAAGCAACTCCTAGGATATTTCTGGATTTTTTTTTATTCAGCAATGATGATATCAACGACACACGAACAAATAGAATTTTCAGTGAAGCTAAACAAGTTGCTTATTGACTACTACGTTTTCTGAAATCATAAAGTCTATTATGAAAGTTTATTCCACGATCACCCCGAAACTTCTTCCTTATTCCTGCAGCTGCAGAAAGTACCGCACATAACACATTGCTGATTAACCGATAAGTCTCCTTACAGGATAGCCTAGCTGTTCTAGGAATTTTAGAAATTTTGGTTCAACTTGAAACAAGCAAACTAAACTGAATCGGACCGAACTGAATCGAATTGACTGCTTTCCACGAAATTAAAGAGAACAATATGATGCTGTATTTAATTTCACTTCATATAGTAATTATACATTTTATCAACAGTTCAACAAAAGTGGAAAAGGATTAAAATATCAAATTAACTTTTGTTTTTGGATGCGACATTCCTCTCGCAAATCTCGACTATATGACGCAAGTTTTCTGCCAATCATCAAAGTTCTCCAACTACACAAACAGACGTGTAACAGTACATCCTGAATTCCGGAAAGGTATGTTACTGTATGGTGAAATATTTCGTTACATTTTGTAGCATAATAAATGAACGTCAAAAAGATGAATTGAAAATAATTTGCTGGATATTCTCACTACCGTCCCTAGGAGAAACATACCGTTATGCGATATGCGATCGAAGTGAAAAGATGATAATTATGAGGGGTGTGAATAACAAACAGTAGGTTTCCCTCAATCGCGGCAGATATGTGCCAACTTGTTCGTCCATCATCCATTGTCGTCCATTGTCCATCGCTCAACTTCAATCTCAATCTCCATATTTGATGGATAAAGTCACTCTGTCTCTTCGTTTCTCACATTGTTTTCATCTGTTCCTTTTTACTTCCACTACTAATTAGGTCAAATGACCCCATTTCTCTTTCGACCAATCCTTTATGTCATATTGAAACCTCAAATTACAATGAAATCCACTAAATTCATCATGGACATAATTTCACGTTTTCACGGTAATTATTTTATATATACAGGGGACATCAGAAAGGTTAAACAACGGGATTTTCATATGCGCATATATACTAGAAAGTAATGTTGCTTAGAAGGCAGGGATGAATTGAAGAAATTGCAAGAAGATTAAGAAGCCAAGAGAGGAATAAAGTGATTGTATCGATAAGACCAAGATAAGCTCAAATGTCTTTTCTTTATTTATCGCCAAATGCTGAAATTTCTATCTGTTAATAAAACTCATATTGAATTCTATTGCTCAGTTAGTTTTACAACTAAAACAGTCGTTACGAATTTTTAAAAATGATTTTCAATTTATTTTGCTTTTTCCATAATTAGATTCTTAGATTCAGATACATTGGAAAATAAGAAGCATTGCAAATGATTAGAAGATGTCCTTCGGATGGCGTGAAAGCAGTCTTTGAAAGCATGGAGAGATTCCTATCAATACATTTTGCCTGCTCTTCAATGCCAATGATATTCAGAAGCTGTCCAATCTGTTGATTTAGAAAACCGCTTTGTAATTATAAGAATATGCTTCCAGTAAAACATTCTTAATAAAGATATTTAAGTAAAATCTGGAAATAAGATGATCAGATAGATAGATAGCTAAATAATAAACTGGAAGAAGAAAAAGAAAGATAAACAACGGGGTTTTCTCATTTATAGCATCATTGTATCCTTACTTGAGGAATAGAAAATAAATAATATTTGTTGATTCCATTATACGTAATCATCGATGTTTGCTGTTTTTATTTTATTTTAACTAACAGCAATTTTTACTCATTTTATAATAATTGGTTTAATATTTTTTGCAACGTTTCAAAAACACAAAAACATATCAGAACTATTCATTTGATGCCTTCTTTCCGTTCAATTCACTTCTCGATATTATCAAAGCAGAATGTCTTAAATCAACATTTCGGTAATTCTCAGGTATTGTGCACCTTCGAATTCTGCTTACAAACCATTTTGTGCTGATCGGATTGAATATGTGATCGGTCTCTTGACAACGTTGCATTGCATATTTCAACTTACAGTGTGAAATTTACCGTGCCATCACTTTATCTAAGTGGTATTGTTCCAGCATTCACCTGATATCCACAAATGTGTAGACGAGAAATGCATCTCTGCAAACACCAAGAAACAAATTCAGGCAATACTATTGCATTCTCTCGTAATAGATGATTGTTTTTCGATGTGTTGATTTCAAAAATTCAAGGAAGGAAAAATCAATGGCTAAAGAAAATGAATCATATATGATAATTGATTACTTCGATAGATTATTGAAGAATTGCAAGTAAAAACATTAAATTTAGCTGCTCTATGAACTTTATAATAAGTCCCGAGAGATTACAGCTGAGAGATTACAGCAAATGTAAATTTATAGCCATTCATACTACTACAATTCCTATAATACTCAAATTTTTAATATGTACAGAACAGTGACAGCAGCAGCGGTAACAGGAAAAAGCGGTGATTATAATGCAAAAGCCGCCTGGGTAACAGAGTTTGGAAATAAGAAGCAAAAATGATATGTTTTATGTTAGGTTGTACAGTTGTTATCTTTCGTTGTTAAGAAACAATGCTGAAATGTTCCATCATCCTGCTTTCTTTGCATTTATGGTTCCTCACATATTGCTGATAATGAGTAAGTTAAAGTTGGTGAATGGATGCTTACACTCTTATCAAATCACATTTACATAAATTGCTTCCTTGAACTCCTCCAAATCTTCTATTTACTGATTGATTTATGTTAATGTAGTTAGAATGACAGCTATGTTTCATTCGAATATATCACCCTGCCTAATCAATGGTCACTATGAATTGCCAATGATTAGAAAATAAGCTGGAGTGGAGAAGCTAGTCATGGATAATTGTGTTTGACCCGCTGCCCCACCAGTGATTTCTTAGTTTGTGCCCACACTCAAAATAACTCAATATCTTCTGAGAAAAAGACATAACTATTGCATCACTACAACTTACAATGTGTTTGTATGTATGTTTGACTAGGCATACTAGCCGTAATGATAGGTAGTTATCATGGTTGTGAGTGAGAAGGTGAACGCATATGATACATAATATTTGTAGGAAGTAGTCCTTAAAGGTTGGAAGGAGTGGAAAGGGAGAAAGGATTGAAAGGGAGTTATGCAGGTGCAAGTGACCTTGGAGACAGCTGTGACTGGCTGCACCCCGGTACCGGCATGTGTTGCAGTACGATCTCTTATAACCAGTCAAAAGAGTCTACCTAACCTGTTCTGATGAAGTGAACTAAACTAACGTGTACCAAAACAATTTCGACCCCGAAGTTGTAAAGTACGTTACTTTTCACGTCTTATGATATGTACTAATCAGATTGGGACATATAATCCACTGTTAATCAAACGAGCTTTTAGAAAACGATCGACTTAAGAGTAAGCATCTACGAATTCGCTTGGTTATGTCTACCATAAACATCGCTTCAGAATTCATTTCTACCTCAAATTAGTCTTTTAAATGGATCTTACTGCGGTGTGGCCAACTGGATAGAAACATGGATTTAAGTGAAGAGTGATAATATTAAGCAGATGGATGATAACCTTTCATTTATGGGAATATCTAAAGTTCACTTTTGCGATTGTCATCAGCACTGTACGACCGCTCTGTCCTGAGTGATGAAGCATTCGTGAAAAACTGAAGCACTATGAATATATAGCCTATACGGAAGATATTACGTATCCTACATCAACTACAGATCAAAATGAGTTCATTGCGAAGTGTGTTTTTCAAGTCCTTAAGAATGAATGTTGTGCGTATCATTGTTTTCAACATTACTCGCATTAATACTTCATAAGGTGTCCTAGCGAAAGTTGTCTTTTGGCTCATTTGGATCTGGAATGATCAGAAACTAGACATGTTCAAGGTCATTAAAGATGTTTTGGGTTTAACTTCTCACTCTGACAATCTGTATTTTTTCGTACTCCTCAACGGTTAGTTTTTGGGATATCTTCCAGATCCTCTATGTCATATCCAACTGCTGCTACTATTTATACATCACTCATTTTCTCGTAATCACTGATCTGAACTTCTCAGATTTTATAATTTTCTCGTGCTGCTTTTTCTAGTTTCGTTTGGATGAGAGTACAAATCACTTCTTACTGTTTTTGCTACCGTTAGCATCCCCGCCTGTCAATTAATTTCATTTCAATAGCTCCTTCAGAAGCACTACGGGATAAAGTTCTCCAAATGAACATTTGATGTATATAGAGATAGAATCTTAAGTATTGACAGTACATACAAAAAGGTGTGTGAGACGATAGGTTGAACTTACTCATTTATTCCAAACATCAATAATAATAGATGAAAGGGTGAGGTGGTCGGCTATTTCAGATCTTTCGCAATGGAACCAAAACGGGCATTTTGTTCCTTCCCGAAATTTTATTCAATTCACCAACAACAAATTCTCCCTTATTGGAATTGCGTTATACAGCGCGGTGATAAGAAGGAAGAGAGGTTGGCAATTCAAGGGGAGGAAGGAGGGGCTATAATGTCCCCTATAGGTTGACTCAGGCTGGCACCCGAAAATTTTGCTGCTACTGCTGCTGCTGCTGCTGATGCTGTGGTAGTAGTAGTAGTAGTGGTAGTAGTGGTAGTAAATAGTTGTCGTAGTACTTCCATTATGGTTGTGTATGTTGCCTTAAAGGCTCGGTTGGGATGACAAGGAAACAATGTTAGCTACTAGCCTGAAATCTGTAATGGCGCTTTTCAATGGATATTATATGCCGTTTTGATCAGGTTCAGGTGTGCAGATATCCTAGTTGTTGACTTATAGTTTACTTTGATCATTGGACTATTAAATATGAAGACAAATAAGGGTAGAAAGAAAAAGATAGTTTTTCTTTGTTGCTCGTTATTTTCTATTGAATTTTAATTATCCCACTAATAGGTTGACAAATTTTACAACCAAAATTGTTACAAACTTGCCCCCTGCCTTCTCTCTATCTGTTCGGTTTAACTCGTATCTGCGATGATATCAGAATTTCATATTAATTCACTTCCGCTTTGATAACTATCCACGGAGCAGACCATTGCTTTGAAATTATCAAAATGAACGAAAACTGACTGGGAAGAGGCAAATATTTGAAAATTAATTTTTCAGATTTATATTATTTATCTCATCAAATTTCTATTAAAAGGAAATCAAATAATGCCTGCAAAAGTGCACTGCAATGGTTTGTTTTTGGGCGACACAATTCAGGAAAAAACTCGAACTTTGCTTGGCTGGAATGATGAGGTTCATTTTTCTTTTCCTTATACTTTTTAATGTGAGATTCGGGAGAGGAAGAAGAAGCAAAAAGTACCTCTTCATATTCACTTAGAATTTAGATAATCAGTTGAAGCAAGCAGAATTACCATCTCAGCCTATATTATTTTTCATCTTTGATGACTACTGTTCGCATTTTTTTCAATAATATAGTAATGTATTAATGACGGAGTAGAATTAGCCCGTGGCGATCCTTTGACAGTGTGGAATTTTAGTGCAGATTTATTCTTGCATTTCTATTCATTTTTCCGAAATGTTTGCAACTGTTTGCAACCTAATTAGCTCTGCAGTATCTCTTCACGATGATTTCGGCAGATACATACAGCTAAACATTTCCAACAAAAAAAAATGAAACCATATTTACGATACTTATTAAACAGGCTGCCGTTGATCCGAAAACCTTTAAATGTATTTTTCGGAAACAAATATCAAAATGGCAAAATAAATTTATCCAGTCTCTTAAATCAAATGCTTTAATATCTCATTCTAACATTTTTTCGAAAGGCTCAATACCATGAATAAGTCTAGCTAGCATTTATGATAAATGATAGTTTATTGTTTCGTGACAATTATGAAATAATGCGAAAAAGAATGTCATAAGTGAAGTAATTTCCTGAGGACATAAAATCTCTTGCTACTACAATAAATTTCGACTATTTCTATGAATTATGTGTACTTCTACAATTTTAAAAAAGAGTTGCGCAATCGGGTTTATACTAATAATTGCGGTGATTTTCTTTGGATGCTTTCTAGTGCTCTCATTATTACCATCGTATCATCCTCTTCCCATTCTCACTTTTTCCAAATTTTTTTCAATCTTCTGTCTATCTCGCTCTCTCCATACATCTCCCTAAAAAAATAAGGTTTATAAAAGTGATAAATATTGTTGATTGATAATATGCTCACTGTTAATATGATGGTACAAATGCCATCGGTGACAACAATAGCAGTAATTGATAATAGAACGATTTAGGATGAGCCAATCATTTTTCCGGTATAACTTTGATACCAAAATCTAAATACGATTCCGCATATATGTATTAGTTCAATGACTATCCAATTACCTTTTCTAAAAAATTTGAAAAATTTACAGATTCTTACATTACTATAATTAGCTAAGAAGCCAAATCTTATCATCGTTACCTTCCTCGATATCGATTTTATAATTCAGCAAGACTATTTCTTTTTCAGCATTGTCCCACGATTACAGTCAACGCTACAGAGAAATCCGTCAGCAGGTGTGATCGGCGTGTACTTCATGTAAATAATACACGCCGTCATCCATACATGATTCCAGTCGGGCGTTTGCGACGTTACAGTAATAGTTCAAGTTCAACATGTAGTAGCAGTAGTAGTGAATATTCGCAACCATCACCAAGTTACAGTATCACTTCTTACGAATCGCTAAGTCCGGAACCTCTGGTTTCCCCTTATGCTGCAACTGATTGTCAATCACCCCATTTAGTACCGCTAGGTCCAATAATACCAGCAGCAACAACAACGGCATCTACCACCAACTATCGGTCGCCGGAACGAGAAGCACAAGTTTTCGAAAGGTTGCGACAGCTGGTACCAATGTTGCCATTTGATAGAAGTGCTTATCAGGTTAGCTGCAAATTTTCTTGGATTTTTGTGTTTTATCCGAACCAGATGAACTATTGTATCATCGAGAAAGAGTTTCAGAATCATTCAATAGTAATGCTATAAATTGTTCGGAAAATGATACTAACACTCGTGCACTACTATGACTATCCTGCCATCTTGATTTTATAGTCTTGTAGTCGTTATTTTACGATGCGTAGTTCATACATAAACCAAACTTCAGTGCTTGTTGGAAGCTTGAATTTGAAAGTTTATCAACAAAGATCAGCAGGATAATTCGAAGAGCCTATAAAAATGGGTGATAAAACTCAAAAATGATTAATATACCGCAGAATAAAACTGTACCCCTTCTGCAATATCTTTCAACAAGATTCCTTTATTCTGAACTGTAAATTAGTTCATAACATTGCTGATTGGCTATTGAGAATGGTTGGAATAGGTAGGAAATTAATTTGGAAATGCCCGCAAGCAAAGATCTTCTCAATTGGCATGCTAAATGCTTGAGAGTTTTTATAAAGTTGTTCGTTGCAGGTACTAATAGAAACAGTTTCACAAGTGATGGATTTAGAACAACAACTTGAACAACTGAACCAGCAGACAAACAATGCCAAAAACAGTCTATGGATTGAACAAAAAAGTCTCATTTCGAATGCAGAAAATGTTAGTAAGCAGACTGGATTTGACAGAATTGCTATCACAAGGCCAAGACCTTACCTCTTTGTAGATTTGCCGATATTGATAAGTGGTAGATAGGAAATGGCTTATAATTACATTTTTATTGCTTTTTTCTTTTTATAAATTTAACTCTGTAAGGAAGTCAAAAGTTTTGAAGAAAGAGGGAAACATAGAAAGAATGAAGAGAAAGAGCAGAAGAAAATTACGAGGAAAGTTCCATGGCATCAAGTTCCAACATCTATCTTTGAGGTTATACATCTATCACTCACCCATTCCACGATAATAGTTAAATATAAGTATGTGGAAGAAAAAATGGACTAACTATTCCCTCTCGTTTCTCGACTCTCTTGGCTTAATAAGCATTACGATTTTATTAGGATTGAAGAATGGAGGGTGGTAAACAGTTGATTGGTCCCATTAACAAATTTGGAAGGGGAGCTTGGATTTAAGTATGTCGCCTTACATCTTAAAGATACTAATAAAAAATCTAATAGCATGTTGTCGAGACAGCCCATAACTGAGTTAAGGCCTTTCATCTTCATTAGTACTACCAATTCATCCTGGACCGACTGATCATATCATGAAATTCAAAGCCTCCACATTGCAGAGTGTCTTTCCGGATGATTTGAAAACTGTGGATGTGACAGCATTCAAGCGTCTTCTTTGTTCCGATCCTCTCTCTGGCGATATCTCAAAAACAGTGCACTTCAACTTTGCCTCGTAAGGTGTACATTTCTGTTGAGCTGAGCGCAACTGCCCTAATCATCTATTACCTTAATTTGTAATTTCACATTGCAGATTTGTTTTTACAAGGCTTATCAGATAGAGGACATGCTTAGGTAATCCTTATCATAGCTATCAAGTAGAGTCTGGATAAATCCTTATTGCTGCCAACAAACTGATCACGTTTTTGTTTGGTCAGAAGAATGCCATTACTGGTTAATAAATCCACGCAATTCTCAACAATTGAATTTTCATCACTCAGTTTTTTTCGCTTTAAATCATTCATACTCAGTAAATTATTTCCGAAAATCGACATTCCTTTTTTGTTAAAAAACGAAAACGAATTTTACACGGTAAGCTTCATGCTGCGTGACGAGGAGGTGCATGCTTTCATTACAAGATACTGGACTTAATTTTTTCTCCGCAAAATTCAGTGCAAATTCCATTTTGGCAAATATGTTTTAAGTTTTGGAAAATTTTAATTTTGAATAAAATTTAGTGTTACCGTAGGTGTACGTAAGAATTAGGGAAAAAACTTTCTGATGACAGCTCAAAGAAGTATTCAACCAAGATTTTTATTTTATTGTATCCCCAATGTTACCTAATCAAGCTTTGACAACTCATTCTTAAAGGCTTTGAGCAGTAAGAAAATAAAGACAGTAACAAAATTACATCAATCTAATTTACCGAATAATGCTTCCTTTTTGTAATCCTCCACTTTATTCGGTAATTGAACGAATCAGTTGCGTTCAGGCAAACATGTAACCTGATAGTTACCATTTCGTATCCTTCGTGAATTCTTTTGTATATGTTTTACTAATTGCTCACATTCCATGCATAAAATAATAATTCATCACCGTGCTTTTAGTGCAATTCAATTGAAGTAAATTTCATTCCAAAAAACCCGATACAATAGAAAAAGAAGTTCCACATTTTTCCCAATGATTAAAATAACTATTACAAATGTAGTGGGAATTTCGGCTTCTACGCTCTGTAAAAAACATTTGGAGAAATCTTAGATTTCACAGTAAACAGGATTTAATTTTATCTTCAATAGAATGAGATGTGTATTTGTTGTATTTGTTTACATATTTGTTGTATTTGCTTATCTATTGCCACATTACTGCTAGCCTTTGAATGGATAGAACCAATTACTGGCATTGCTCATCTCATTTATAACCCTGCTACTATCGCTAGGACAATCGAGTAACCGGTACTGGAAATCAAAAGTTCGAGGCGTCAAATATTAGAAAATTTTTTGCAGTGGAATGTTTGTCCACAACAGAAAAGTAAGCTCTCCAGAAGTTGGTAATCACAAGGATGCTTATAATAATTTGGACCCAGATTCCTTATTATTTCAGACCCTGCTTTAGTTTACTTGATTTTTTTTCGGAGGTGGAGAAAAATACTCATTCAACTTGATGTTTCAAGCGTTTGAATACCAGAGCCGTAGCAGTTCAAACAAATGGTACAATGATCGTTATCATTATTGTTATTGATGTACAGCTGCTGTCATTACTGTCAAACGTGATGACGAAGCGATCCGGTTTCTTCGGGAAGAATTATGAATTTGATGGAATGAAACTGGTACGGGGTGACACCATTCCTATACAAAAATCACATTCTTGTCTGCTGATCGAACCACACCTCTGTTATTTTTGCATGCCTTCATTGAAACTTGTACAAAGGGGTTTTCCTTTTTTTCGGTAGGAAAAATCGGTTTCCGTATTGGATGCCTAATGACTAACAGAGGGAATTCAAACTATAAAATCGGAAAAAAAGAGTGGTAGCACACTGCTGAATTACTGAGTGAGGGATCGACTGAATTTTGCTATTGGTGAAAATAAAAGAAGATAGAGATTTTGTGCTCAATGAATTTAGCTCACTCTTCGAAAATCATGATGTGTTCAGATTTGATGCTCAATTACAGCTCGTAATTCCATCTATTGTAGACCGAATTGGCCGACCAAAATCATTTCAAACTTGTCTCCCTTATAACATCAAATTGTGTACATTGAAACGTGGATAGATAAGCTGGCATTCAAATTATAAACAGTATGGTAATAGCCAAGTCACTATGCCAAATAATTTCACCTCGTTCATCGAATTAATGCTACAAACAACAAGAAAATATGTTTACTTTGTTGTACCATTATACAAAGTGCGGCGAAATGAATTATCTTGATAAGAATATCATTAAAGAATTGAATAAAAATATGTATCAAAATGAACCGGCTGATTGCGGTTCCTGATGAATGAAGAAAGGTTGTCGTTGCTGCTGGTTTTGTTGTTGTCGCAGAACTGATACTGCTGTTGATAGTGCAGGTGTAGACAGTGGCATCACACCTGATAATAACTTCCGCGGCTCTTTTTGCTTATTTTTAACTTCTATCATTTCGCGTTCCTTCAGATCAACTTCTGCTACACCTTTCATATATTCTTCTTTAATAGCTTTCTCGCACTCCGCATCCGATGATATGCTTCTTGTCGTAGATCGCGTTGATGTCATGTCTTCATCCCAATCAAACCGCGAATTGAGTCGTAATTTCCATTCTTTTTTAATCTAAAATTTACAATAGAATTTTATCAGCAATGGAAGAAGTAGTAGGACAAGCGTATATGTATGTCGTGTTAACAGATGATATACTCACATCCATCAGTACATCCACAAATTCATTGTATTTCGGATTATCTTCGAATACTAATCCATCAATCATTTCCATCAACGTTTCATATTGCTTCGGACATTGATGGAAAAATTGTGTCCGACCTGCATCACGAGCCATCAACTTGGCTGCTTGCACACCAGCACGCTCTGTACAAATTAGCACACATTGTGGTGGTTAAATTAAAAATGATTAGATATAACAAAATATCTACTATGGAGATATCAATAACAACTAATCGAGAATAATATCGTTTACCAGAAACGTGTCGCCACGGTAAAGAGCCACGAGTAATCTCGACAAGCAGATAAAACCACGATTCCAGGTCATCTCTCCTCGCCAAATCGAGCCTCAGATGTGCTTTCAGCGAGCCATATCGTGTTGTGCCTCGCCATCCCACTTCACCACGTGATGGAAGTAATTTACCGTTCTATGAAACTCAGAAGGAACAAAAGAACAAAAAAGATTGCTTAGAATAGATCGCAGCATATTAAAAAAGGACTATCGAAACTGTTCCACGCTTCATCTCACCTTATCAACGTACTTTTTAGCAAGCCCAAAATCGATCAAAAATATCGTCTTGTGCTGTTGATTTTCACGTAATCCGACCATGAAATTACCAGGTTTGATGTCACGCGATATAAAATGACTCCTTTAATGAAAGGCCTGATAACACAGGTGAATGGCAGCCTTGAAAGGCTGAGAAAGTACTAATTAAAGGATTCAATTAAGCAATTACCCAATTTCGGTTCTAGAAAGACAACTAACAAATGTAATTCCTCAATAGCCTTCAGCGTTTGCAGGCCTACTTGTATTGCAGTACACAGCGAGAAGCGTCTATTGATTTGCTCATTGCGCAATTTGTGCAGGTCTTTCCCCAGCAATGGTATCACAATGAAAATATAATCTGGTTTCTCATTACCCTGGATAATTCGATGTGTCCGAGAATTTCAAAATTAAAACAAAATTTTAAACCACTCTTTGAATAGATGATTTTTAGAAATTCATTTCAGATTCAGAATCTCATATGTTGACACGCAATTTGTTGACACAGCGAAACCCGCCAGAATTAGTCGGCAGTTGTGTCATTTGTAACTGTCGGAAAATTTAGATGGACGTTTCAGAAAGTGTCACTATCAATCTGTGTAGTCAATCCACAATTCAGTCCAGTAGCTGAGATCGGTGGGTTTTGGTTAGTATCTTTGAGTGGTTCGAAACTTCGACATTAAAAATCAGTGCATCGTGCACAGAACGATGCACGGAGGCTTTAAATTTATGAAACTTCAAAATTTCTAAAGCAGATTTGTTAAAAACGTACGTAATCGATCAGCTCGCAAATATGTTCGCTATGTCGCCGTGCTGCAGCACGCATCACACTTGCTTCTATGTGCAGCATTGACTTACTGTACTTTTCGGCTTTTACGGCTACACGACGCCTACAATGTTATTACTCCTTTTATAAGCAGAACTGTTCAAATCCATTACATTTATAAAAATTTATAAGATCCTAGATATGGCATCAATCAGACAAGAACGGAAGGATGATGGGTTTGAGGGAGTGGGACAGAATTAAGAGAGGAAGCCAACAAAAGGATTAGGCTAATATAGTTAGCTTATGTAAATTCCTCACTTCATTGTTCAATAAATGAATGGACTGAACAAAAAAAAAGATGGAAGACAATAGCGCCCAACTATGTTAAATATATGCGGTAAAATTATAAATAGTGGCATATCATTTTGTAATTACAATTGGTTACAGGTCAAAAGTTGTATGAAACTTCAGTGTGTATATGTAACGGGAATATTGTGATCTTACACTTTAAGAAATGATTGTCAACAAAACTACTGAATTATCCTTCTTCTGAATAATAGATAAAATGATAAAGCAGTGCTGTGATCTGAAACTTTGTAGTATGATTTGACTTCTAGAATGTTTGAACACTATACTGCATTTTCCTCTCCATAGATAGTGAGGCAGTCATTCCGATCATTTCGTTGCAACAATCATTCCCATCTAGCTACTTCGCTCTCCATTTTATTTCCAGCAACTCTTCATTATTTCATTCCTAATAAATTTATGTAATGTTAGAGTTCTATCAACAAACTCCATAGATAAGAATTATTTTCCCAACTTAAAAAATTTCAACAATGTTACACCAGATGGTACTGTCTATCGAGTCGACTAAGCAATCATGAGATTCTGGTAATAGGCGTCAGCTACATCCATTAGCAGAATCGAATTCGAAGTATCTCGGAAGAGTTAACAGCAAATTCCCGTAAATTCAATAAGAATTTTTGAGCATGATCGTTCGGTTAAGACTGGGATACAACGCAGAAGTTTTTGTGAAATGCGTAATTTTAGCTATAGTAGATTTTCCACAATTATCCGACGATACAAGAGCTTTAGGTAGCGCCATATTTTATTTTCATTATTTTAATGTCCAAGAAGTAACATATATGTAGCAATTATTTGAAGTTATTTTCACTTCTCATTTCCACTAGACTTTAAAATAAGTTTCAAGTGAAAATATGTTTGTGACAAAAGCACTCACTTCCGGTAACCAATGAATTTTCCGGAAGAGGTAAATAACTTAATCGGACAGTCTTTTTTAATATTGATTTGAGAAGGTCATCCATTGCATAGTCGCGCACACCAATGATAACGGGGGACAGGAGGGTTGTGTGTTGCGTAGTGCGAAAGCTTGTGTTGCACATGTGTAAAAACTCACGTGTAAAATTCTATTTTTACAATATTGTAATTAATACACAGCTAGCTGCTACCACTTTGCTATGTGTAATATGTTGTTGTTAAGATGCCAATATGTGTTGATTACGTCGCAAGCAAGAAAGTAATTGAAATGTTTTGCACATGGAATGACGCAAACGTCCCTCCGAGCTATCATAATACTTACACTCGGTAAGTGAACGTGTAAATGTTACAATACAACATGACATAGGAAAGGCGTTGTGAAGATTCTGGAAGTGCAAAAATATGAGGATCGTGTACAGAGTGCTTCGCTTTCATTTAATTTAAGATGGAGAGGTTACCAACTCGATATTTCTACCACTGTCCTTAGTTCCGATTGACTACAATAGAGTCATTTTCAGAAGCAGTCATCCTCAAATGTAAACTTGATTGGAAGAAACTCAACTAACCCATCATCAGTTTCACTCTCGTATACGGTACCATAGCCACCTTCACCGATAATCTTATACAACTGATAAGTGTGTAGATCTGTTTTTACCAACTCCTTCAGTTTTGGTAAACGATCCCTCTCGGTGGAGCATGCAGCAACTGATTGTTGATGTGATGGAGGTGGAGGTGGTGCAGGTGGTATGGACGCTACACCGACCGCCATTAACAGAAAGTTCGAGATTATGCACTCAATGTTTATTGGCGCGGAATTAATTTGTGTATATGGGATACCAAATGACAGACAAAAGCCAGCATTAACCAAAAAGCCCACGCTATTCAATCATAATAAAATAAAACAATGAACTTGCCGAGGGAAACTTCACCTTTTAACGGAACTTTTCGAGATCTCTCTTTTGGTATCTTTCAAGCATCTCAAAATTTGCATTAAAAAAAATATTATTTCCAAGACGGCTGCTAATTCAAATTCCACTCTATTTTCAAAAGTGTCTTAGTGCCAGAAATGCACTGATCGCGTTCTGCAGGTGTAATGTTAAGATGAGGAAGAAATACAATCAAATAATACCAAATTAACTCAAATTTATAAAGAAACCGTTGAAGAGCAAACATGCGGAATCAACGATGATTCATGTCCAGCACTCTGCTGCTGATCTATGTTAATCAAACTTTACTTATAGTCAACTTTAAGTAATAATTGTATATGTCTTGGAAAGGAAGAATTTAACATTTAAATGATCAGTGGCACCACTACCAGTATCTGATTCAGTTAATTTAAAGATAGAAGGAGATGAACAGAACGAATTCATTTACTTCAATTAGGCAGGAAATACATAACAAGCAACATATTTTAATCAAACCAATTCACTTTTTACTTGGAACTTTTCAAAAAAATATCGGGAATTTCAAATTCTGGACTTTTCTGATTTGTCACCAAATTCTCTATTCTAAGGTTGATTACAATCATATGCAAAGCAAGTAAGACGTTGCAGTTCTTTCTCAAATCTAATAGAAAGAACTGCAACGTCTTCAACGATAGTTCCAATAGAAAGATATATCTAAACATATCCTGCGAAACTGATTATTTTTGTAGCACATATGGATATGAACCAATAAAACATTCACTAACAAAATTCAATTATTGCTGGAACTACTACTTTTTCTTTTACGCTTTCGATTTCGATGTTGTGGAAATGATGGCATCATGCTTGCATCACATGGATATGGAGGCTCATTGAAATATCTGAAATTTTGAAAACTTTTTCAAGAATTACCATAAATCACTCTCCTTACAATTGATTAGTCATCGCCTTCAAAACGCTTTCAAGAATTACCATAAACTACTCTCGTTTTCAAGAATTACCATAAATCACCTACTTTAAAATCAATTACTTGCTAATTTTTGTATTTGCAAAAAAGAATTTCAATTCCAGGATCTAATTCTATACCGTGAACACAGCGCATCTTTTGCACAAATTCTTAGAGATGGATCAAAAGTGAAGAGGCCATTTAAAAGTTGCAGGCAACTATCACTAGCACGTTCCATCACACACTTCAACTTATTGTACGGCTGGGAGCGTAATTGGAAATTACGCAAAGCGGGTAATTCTTCGATTCCTTTCCATATCTTTTCGGTCGGAGTTCCAAGCAAATCGATTATTTTGTTAATCTAAATTGTATGTAAGTAAATTCGATGCATTTTCGATAGACATTTAATGCAACCGTCAAAAATAAGTACTATTGAGGGCGCAATACAGACTACCTGATCGAGCTCAGTTTTCCCTGGTAAAAGAGGTCGGTGTATAAGCAGTTCTCCAAGAATGCATCCTGCCGCCCACATATCAACACCGGTACTTTGTTCTTTTGCACCAAATAATAATTCTGGACTACGGTACCTGCAAAGCGTTGAAGTTTGGAATTTTCTTCAGCTTTTTGAGAATGAAATAGGCTTCAACAATAAAAGCAGGAATTTAAACAGGCAGAGCCTTCCTAATGCCCGAGATATTTTTTGCAAACTATTCAGAATGTTACCACAACGTAACAACTCTTGGCGTCATCTGCTTGGAAGGTTCTCCGAATGTTCGCGCCAATCCAAAATCAGCAACTTTCAAGCAACCATCGTCTGTTAAGAGAAGATTAGAAACCTATAAAACTAATCCAAGCCGCATCAAAAGCATATCCAGAAAAATTAAACAATAAAAACAGGAATTTTTCGGCAAATGTAAGAAAAATTAAATCTTAAGAAAGTAAAAGAAGCTAAAATTAACCTTCAAATCCCGATGAACTACGTGTTTTCCATGCAAATAAACCAGTGCCTTTAGCAACTGCATTACAATACATTTAATCTGTGGCTCTGTAAATGGTACTCGCATATTGTCCAACAGTGATGCCAAGTCATGAAATAGTTCACGTAAAATTTAAAATGGAAATATGATCAGTAGGCCTGCATCTAATCCTTCATCACCTTCCTGACAATTAAAGTTACCTGAGTACAGTACTCCATAACGAGAAAAATTGAAGTTAATTGCTGTCCTACTACGATTTCCCTCAACTGAACGATATTTTTGTGATGCAAACTCATGAGCAGATGGATTTCACGAATTGCTGATATTGAAATTCCGTTCTCTTCACTTTTCTCATCCATTCTTACCTTTTTTAGTGCAATCTAAAGCAAAAACGAAAATAAATAAAATTTGAAGTTTAAGCTTAAATCTCAATCCTAATTAAAGCTTCAAAGAATCGCTACGAAGAAAATCAAATAAGATACAATCTCTCCAGTTTTCGTATCCTTGGCTCTATATACAATGCCGTATGTACCCTCACCAACACGATTCATTTTTTCGAATTCATTCACTGACCGACATCCTCCATAACCAATCTTGTCCTGATAGTATGATATAATTATACAACTTCTTAATATCTCTTGAAAGCATCTTTTAGTTAGATAACTTCTGAATTCCTATTCCTTAATAACGCTTCCTTTTTCAGATGCTATAAAAATAAAGAAAAAGCAAAATTTTCAACATCCTTCAGACGTATATCAATCCCTAATTTAATAGCTCAACATTACTGAATTATCTGGCACACATTCTACACTTCAACCACATACGACATTTCCACAAGTATAATTCTATAATTTTCTACCTCTCACATCAGAAAAAATGTCATCCTGAGCAATCATAATAAATATCCTAACTGGATTATTTCCAAGCATTCTGAGCCAATATTAATTATTGTAATGTTTTAAAAAAGAAGAAACCTTTGAAAAAGTGATACTCTCCAGATCAAATACAGAAACAATTTGCATCATCGACGATGAAGAACCCAGGTGATGCATTTCATCCCCCATCAAACTGCAATATTAAATGTTAGTTTAACGGCAAGTAGTGAGCGTTAATATATAAGCCAGTTCCAAAATTCGACAAAATACATTTCTGATCTAATGAAGAAATCACTCCTCGCTCACCAGATTACAATTATTGTCGCTTCCTTTCCTTTGTGATAATCTAATTCACTATTCTTCATAAATGTTAAATTAATCCACTTCATTTCTACTCAAAAAATTAGCACAAAAATTAAAGAAAATCTAGACGCTCTGTTCAATATTTCAATACAATGAGAATCCACCGGCAGCTAGCTTCCGTCCTTCAATAATTAGCACTCATATCATTGCCAAGAAAATTGGAAAAGCTCAATATAGTACTAACATCCAACATGTAACCAGAAAAATACACATTAACCGTTATACAATATGGCTATGTACAGTGTAAATAGAGTAAAGCAACGCTGTCACAATTCCCTGTAAAGTCAACTCAGGAAGTCTGGTGAACTGATTCTTTCCGAAATGCATGATTTAAAACCCTAATGCAAGACAAGCACCCTGCAAACATCGTCACATTGTTTCAATCCTATCCGTTTGACCTGTCATTTCCCTGAATGACTATATTTGTCATCATTTTGCATTTCCCTAAACAACATTGCTGAACTATTCAATATCAAAACGGAAGGGATACTCTTAGACACTCCCAATGCTATCAAATGCAACATGAAGTAGAAATTTAATAACAATCCAGTTCATTCTATCGAGCTAATTTTGTAATCTCGATACCACTGCATCAAAAACACATTCAGCATGAAGCACTCAACTCTACTATTTTATACCAGCCAATATCTGCCGGAAATGTAAAATGTGGCATGGATGCTTTCTTTCACATAACGTTTCCACCTCTCACTCCACTAACCATAGTTGGTATTATTAGCTACAGACCATCACTTTCGTCACGGCATTTTCGACACATATACAACGTTGTAGGTAAGCCTATGAATGCATTGCGAAATTTTCAAACATTTAACCTATACAACAAACATAGTATGCTCAAGCTTATTGCTGATATTCCGCTGTGTCCCTTAGCTTTTTCTTTTAATGATGATGAACTTGTGTAAAGAAGAGTACAGCGATGACTGTCGCACTACTAAAGCGTGAATAACGCGTACTATTTTTTATTCTTCAAAAAGTGAATAGAAATAAAGAAGGTAAAATGAATGCTGTTTCCCTTTACTTTAAATAAATAATTCGAAAATAAAACTTAAGGAAGGGAACAATTAATTAGCAAGCCACTAAAACAATTTGTAGTGAGATCTTCGACTAAAATTTTTGTCATAGAATACTCTTCGAAGATCTAAACGAAAAATTGAAATTCAACGACGAACTAAACAAAAAACAAACGATGAATTAATTTGAGCACTGTACATGACAAGGAAAGCATTCAAAAATGACATCATCCAAAAAACACGAGATTGCCGGTACAACCATTTTCATATCCGCAAGATTTCAACCTCCAACCAAAAACAGGAAATATATCCCATGAAAACAACACAGCGAATTCTTAGCATTTGAATTATGACAGAATCAAAAAGCCACAAGAGTTATATCAAACAAATTTGTACAACACCTTTGCGGCGCTTAGCGGAGAGAGATAAACAGAAACAGTTTTCGCCGCTTCTATATTTTTTCGGCATCCTTTAAATCACAAAGATAAAAGAAATACTGGTTTGCCAGTAGGATAATGGGGACCATGAACGGTATTGCATCACCAACTTCTGGATTTAATTTTGGGTTTGATATATACATATATTTAAATTTTAAAACCTGAGTCTAGGAGGTTTAGGGAATGCAAACGGGGCAGTGCTTTAGTAGTACTACTGATGATAACAATGAAGATTTTCTCCTTTTTTCTTTTACATTATTTTTCTTTATTAACCAATTTAATACCCTCATGAAGAATGAAAACGACCCCTTTCCTCGTTTTATCGTTGTATAATTCGTCGCGCACTGGTCATCTTTTTCCTAGTCCGAAGAAAATTTCATCCAAGGATTGTTGAGCTGACGCTACCACCATTCATGGCTGCTTCTGATGGCTTTCCAGTCATTAAACTGCCATTTCTCTTGGAAGTCAATGATGTTGTCGGCATCTCTGATGCTACTACATATAACTGATGTGGTCGTGCTTTTATCATAAAATCATAACATTTGTTGCACACACGCACATTCCCACCTTTATTTTCGTATACTCGAAAAAAGGTACGTTTTGAACATGAAGAACAAAATATACCTCCACAGTTCCTGGAAACAAATAACAAATAATTCTGGCAAAAACTTCGAGTATTCTGACATGAACAAAACTATATATATATATAAATAGATGCTTTAAACATCTAATAATTCATAGCAGAATCACAAGTAGTCAAGTCCCCAAGCCTAATCCTCTACCCGGTTATGTTGCATAACTCAGCCAATGAACAAAGAGAAAAGAAGAGACTAACCTGCAATGATGTCTTCGATTACTTAGGTAGTAGAAAATTCTCTGGCAACTCATGCATTTTTGTGAAGCATCATCCATCAACCACCCTTTTGAACCATATGAAATATCCGCAACATCATCTTTTTCAACGATCGACATGTTTGAAAGCACTGACTCCACAGAACATGACCCACTGTTACTCTCACCGAACTTGAATTTACAGTTCTTTAGCTTATTCTTCATCGAGTTGGTTCAAACATAAAGAAAGAATCCTAATATTTTGCAAGGTAAAAAAGGGTAAAGTGTTAGGAATCTTTCGTTATAATTAGGTACAAAATGAACTGGCATCAGTATCAACTTACTATTAATAATTCCGTCCCAGGTGACTCGCTATTAATTCCATAACTCACTTTCCGCATTTTTCCCATTGTCAGTTGTCTAAGTCTCTCTTGCAACATATTGATGCACTCCTGAACAAAAACAGAAAAAAAAGCATAAACTGCCCCTTTTATCAAGATATACTGCACATTTGAGAGAAATTTCAAACCAAGCAATGTAAAACGTATTTCCTTCCAACTATATTGGATAACTGTTTTAGAACTGTGTTTCAACTTAAAACAAAACAGCACAAAAACATTAATTTCCACATGTGAGGAGAGGATAAACTCTAATCACCTCTTTTTCTAGTTTAACCTCTTTTACTGCAATACGAATAATGGTCTCTGACAATATCAAAATATCAACATTTAAAATACATTAGATAATGATATGCAATTGTTATGCGCAACACGAAGGAGAAAATCAAATTGAATACAGAAATCCCCAGATTCTTGTGACAAGTTTAAATCCTCCTTCACTATCTGCCGTTAATTACCAGCTAAAATGAATAAGCAGATGGCAATCCACTAATATGAATCTTCAGCTCGATAATCACTTCTTTCAGATTCGAAAGCCTTTCTTCTTTTAAGTAAACTTTCTTACATGAGCCTAAGAACGACCGCTTCGTTAAAATTATGAGGACAGATAAAAAGCACATATTCTTGACAAAGTGAAACAAACAAAGAACACTAGAAATTATCTACCTGTAGTTTTTCAACCTTCTCACGGGTCCTTTCTTCACGTATAACTAGAACTTTCGTCAAGCCATCGCAATCCACTTCCCTCTACAAAGGAAAAAAAAGTACAAAACTTTGTGTGAACAGCGTACGTTTCTTGAAGAAAGTAAGAAATCTGTGAATTAAACGAACTTTGGATTGTCACTGTTTACATTTCAGTATTTTCGAAAATAAAAACTTACAGCAATAGCACTACGATCTCTTTCACGATATACTGCGAACGACAAGTCGTTTTCGTCAGGTCGTGCATAGTCCGTTTCACTTGAAATTGATGTTCGAATATTGCTGTTGTGGAATTGAGCGTGTGGATTTCCAGCAAAACTGTAAGATAGATAGACGATTAATATGCCGAAAACCAGTGCTGCAAAATGTGATTAACTACCTAACACAAACGTAAAAATGCTGAAGACATTGATATATATATCAATATACCGAAGACATAATCATGAGTGATAAAATTTTTGAATGAACCAATTTTAATACGAAAGCTAAAATAATTAGATGAGGAGGACATACGGTGTATTTGATGATCCCTGGCATGTACCAGCATCCGTATTAGAAAGACTTTCCGCAGAATGGGCTCTGTTCAAACTGATACGATCCACTTCACTATGCTGACTTGCAACCATCCCTGAGTTTGACAGTGTTTGTTCCTGCGAAACAATATATTATTAAACTCATTAATCTATTGACAGTACTGAAAACCAGTTACAGCGCGCTTAGCAAAATGCGAACAAATGTTCACCGTCTGAAATGATGAATTAAAAATTTTGATTTCAGACAAAAATCTGCAAATTCTTTTACAAGTGCATAATTGCGCTGTGTGGGGAAAAAAAAATTAAACAATTAGGTGACACAACTGACATTAATCAATCTTTCGATAGCAGGTCCAATGTAAAGTTGCTTCCAGATGTGAAGATCCTCAACATGTAAAAATGTATGCAATCGCTCATTGCTTTTTCCAGGATTATAAATAACATTTCCATATTCTGGTTTGGATTCATCCAGAAATGTCCAAAGTGAAAGTGTTTCTGCATCTTCTGCAGCCTTATTCCAGTTTTTTCTCTCAGATTGACTGTTCCAAAGAAATGTCCCAAATAATCCGGAATAACAGTGCAGAGCTAACTTTGTCTAAAAAAACCAACTACTGAAGCAATAAAGACTAAGTACCGTTCGGAAATGCTTGAAGCAAAGGCAAAGTTTTGAAAAAAACATGTCAACCTATTAAACTACTTCATTGCAAGTGCGGCAATATCAACTATTACTAAAATGTGTGGTTCATTTTATTTTCTGAACCTCAACTACTTCAAAACACATATAAAAGGTTCCTACCAAATAGCTTAAAGTGAATTGAAAGGCATCTGGAAATAACTGATGCAACTGGTGAACACAGTCCAACCACTGCAAAAATACTGGTGACGACTCTCCACTGACGCTACTGCGCGTACCCGTGCGATCAGCAAATTTATGTCCGAAACCAATCCAATCGCGACGAATCAAAACTTTGAAGCCCTGAAGCATCACATTGCAATTAAAAAGAAAACTTGCTGAAATCCACATTCACCTGTATTTGAAGTTCCTACCTCGAAAGTCCTGTAGTATGGATCGGCAATTATCTTTGTAAGAGTGACAATTTGCGTTGTCCGATCCCAACCATCTGTGCAGTGAACAAGAACTGAACGTCCTGCAAAAAAACCCCCACTAATTGCAAGAAACAATGAGCAATCGACTGTCTTGATATCTATCCACTTCTCAGATTTTAATTCATTTAGAATTGAGAATTTTGCATATTTTACTGCCTTTCCTTCTGTTTGAGTTATTAAAAAAATTAACTTCTCTTACATGTATCCCGCTTAATACTAAGACCAAGTTTATGAAATCAGTATGACCAAAACTAACCATCATCGACAAGTGCCTTTACACATTTCTGTGCAGTATCGATAAGACTTGTAAGATATTGCAGCCAAAAAGTGGATTGAATTGACTGAAGAATGGTATTGTGATCTTGAGGACCAGCAAGGACAGCTCTAAGCTTATGAAAGCTACTACGAATTTCGTGGATATTTGCTAGTCCACAAAAGATGACCTCTGTTTGCTGATAATACTCTGAAAGCAGTACGCTTCCTATAATGACATATAAAATTTCATCCATTAAAAAATATTGCTTAATGAATTTTATTGTCATGTGAAAGATTTACAAGCATCAGACAAACCTTCTGATTCGGCTCCACCACCTTTCACTACTCGATTTGCAAGGGCTGCAGTATATGAACGGCAATCCACTATTAACAACTTTCGGGACGACGGTCCTGCAACTGTTTTCACAAAACGGTAATACAGATTTTAATATTTAGATAACTAGAACATCGCGATATAAATTAAAATTTTAACCAACAATATTTCGGTAACAAACTTACTTCCATTAACGGCTTTCCTGGCACATTCTAACAACTTTTCATCCAGCGGGAATCGATAGTTGAAAATACCACAACACGGTTGACTGCTACGTAGCAAGACGGATTCATTTTTGGCGCAACACCATACCGCGGCCGGAAATCGAGCATTATTCCGAGCAGCACACGCTCGACGCAATTCATCATCCGTTATATCCTTTGGAACTATAACTGATTTCGGATATGTTGCGCATAATCTGAAAAAATTTAATTGGTATAACTGAAAATATTTCTTTTTTTGAAAAATGCACTCCTACTTAGCGTTTTGTTCGGCCGTCCTCATTTTCGGACCGTCCTCGCTGGATTCTACACATGAACAATTTCGATGGATTGAAGGAATGGTCTAAAAGATTTTTAAAGAGGAATAAAAACATACGAATAATCAGCATTGGCTTCTGAAACTCTCCAAGAATGAGGATTGTAATTGAGCCGCAAAAATTCTTTCTGTGCTAGGCACTCAGAATCAGCCGTTTCATGATGAAATCTGAGCCAACTAGGAAGTTGAGTCTGAAACAGAGGATAAATTGCTCGAAAAAAAATTGGATGAAATCAATGGATAAAAGTTAAGCCCCTTAAAATAACATCAAATCTGATAGAAAAAATCACAATATGGACCAATACTTCCCTCTTCTAGCTTAAGTAACCATTATTCGCCACCAGTTTAAAAATCTATTCTTAGTTGTGCATCAGTTTACCTACAACAAAAATTACTTTATTTGAAGAAATACCTTTGCAGCTTTGGCAAACTGCCATGCGAAAACATCGTTCGTAGCAATATTATAGGTCGCTTTTTGCAATCTTTTATGCAATTCCACTTGTACTTCACTTGCACATCTCAACCTTGAAAGGAACAAATTATTACCAGAAATTAAGCTGATTACATCTCGAAATCATTAAACTTTTTTAATATACCATACAGTGATTAGGTATATGTAATGACTGCCTCTAAGTACTACTCCAAAATCATGAATAAAACGCAGGCGAAGGCCAATGCCAGTTTCTCCTCGGCTCAAGATGCTCATCCTGTTTACATACATTTTACCACATCCACTGAAAATTTTCAATCTCAGGTATTGTTTTACCTTTTAATTAATTTCAGTCAATAATACCTGCATATTCGGCCAAATTTACATGTAATTTGTATTCCATACGGATCTCCAGACCAGAATTCAACAGTATCAACACTCAAAAGTGGAATAATTGCCAAAGCATTTTTCACACGATCCAGTATTACAATTCGATAATTTGTTATATAAACAGTACCGGAACCTGTGTCCATAGTTGATTCCAGTGATTCACCCGGAAGAGCACTGACCGGAAGAGCTTCTGATACCTTGGCCTGAACATTTAATGGTTTCTCCAAATATAATGAAATTTGTGAAGTGTGCGAAATTTCATAGTTTAGGGTTGATTTTACTAAGTTATGAGAGAAAAACACATCATCGCTTGAAATCATTATTTTGTAACAAAGCACGTATTACATTTCATGGTAAATCCCAAAATTCCTAAATAAGTTCCTAAATTCATAAATATTTATTACTAAAACTAATTAAAGAAAGAGAGAAATAGAGAGAGAAGTAAAGCTTCACTTACATCATTAATTGGAAATAACTGCTTCAACCTTAAAACGTGGACAAAAACTCTAACTACCGCGGACAAAAACATTTCAACCAACATTCTCCTGTGACACTCTTAGTAAAGTACTAGTGAAATGCAAAAAACAAGCAAATGAGATATGGCGGGTAATATATTGTCTCCGTAAGACTGCCCTACCTTTTAGAAACTTTCAAAAAAAGTAAAGGAAGGACAGGGAGGAACCAAAAAAACAAACAACATTATTCACTCACAACTGCTACCAATTAATATCATCAAGCATATTATATAAAAAATTTGAAAAAAAAGAAAAAACAGTCTCTCCACATCAACCTTATATTGGAAAGTTATTCCGCAATTCAATGTTCCAGATCTTTTTCACTTCTTTCACTGCATTAAAGTCTTAAGCTTTGAGAAAGCGTATGTTAATGCAAAACAATAATCTTAGTATCGAAAGAATCTCATGCACCAAAGAATATGTAATGAAAAGATATGTCATATTTCATGGATCCTATTGTTTTCAACGTACTGCCTGAATTCAAAAGAATAATGTGATGAAATTGTAACTCACATGCTGAGCGAAGATCGTTACAGCCGATGGGCCATCATCATCCTCCACACTTTGCGAATAGTGAGACATATCCAAAAAATATGGAGGATCTTCAACAGATTCGAGTGTGTCGTTATCAATCACACCGCACGGAACAAAACCGTCTTCACCACGTTGTGCTCCAGCAGGAACTCGAATAGGGATTGCCTCCGACGCCGCTGGCATACTCCAGCCTTCTGGATGCTCAATCCGTGGAGCTACTACTACCACTACTACTACTGCTGCTGTTATCACTAACAGCGATATCTCTGTCTACAGGTACGAATTTCCCGTCCAGCAGTTCAAAGATATAATCGGAATGAAAGATTATAAAGAAGCAACAATTAACAGACCGCAGCAACAATCAGCGAATATGAAGACAAAAATATTCACTTTTCGTTGTGTACGACAAAACTGGAATTTGGAAAAAAGAAATGCTTTTTTTTGTCCGAAGTATTATTGAAAATGGTTTCGAAAGTTAGAGAGTGTCCCTTTCGAGTACCACCAAGCCAGATCCACGCAAAGTAATCTGAAACATTGAACAACATCAACACTCGATAGAACTCATCATGCGTCGCCACAGAAAGCACTAAAGCCAAAAGGCATGCGTCGCAGAAGGCTCAGAATGCGAAAAATAAAAAGCTAGAAACCATCAAAATTTTATACTGACACTCTCAAGCCTTAATACTAACATAGCAACATCCGATTAGCGAGCAAAGTTCACTCCAAAACTTAATTATGAATACATTGTTTTTACATTTCCACAATTTAATGTTTTCTATATATTGAAAACGAGTTTCAGTAGACATTCACATACAACTCTAAGAATGAAATGTCTGCCAAGTTTAATCCTCTTGTACAACCAACCTAATCGCTTAATCACTCTCCCCTCTAATTCACCACAAACGGTATTCGTAGTTACAATGAACAAGCTTAAACAATCCAGCAATGTTCAACCCACATTATGTTAGAAATTCTATAGCAGCTAATCAAATGCACTGCAGATAATGCAAAACATCTTCCTATCCTGTTAATGACACCGAAAAAAGGAAAAATTGGGTATAAAGACAACAATAAACCAATACAAGAGAGAAAAAGCTGTTTCACAAACGATACCAGTGTCACAACAAACAAGTTCTAATGAAAATACCGACCGATCGATCGATCGATTCATTTTTGCACTGTTAATCGCAAAGAAGTGGTAATGCAGTGCATAAGTGAACTCAATTTTTGGCTGGGAAATCAATAAATCAGTTTAATTCTGGTAAATTTATGAGAGGTTAATCTACCTACCCAAACAAATACACGACCCAACGGATCGAAAAACTGCATAACAAAACAGAGCAGTGCGCATTAACTGATACACAAACACTCTTAGTTCGACATCCAGAAAGTGAATAATTTGCAATTGTGAAGATATATATTGATGAGACCGATAAACACATGCCACACTAATAAATGAGCAACTAACCACATAATATAACAAGCATTGACTTTACACTTCTAGTCAGTTAAGTTAAAAATGACACAAAAATCGTCCCATCTGAAATTTTTGATGTCATTCCTATTCCTGATGAATTATTAGGGATGAGTAATTAACGATCCGAAAAGTCAGTTCAAATTTCAGACACGTTCCCTCATCGGTAGCAAATGGAAGTAGGTGACGTTTTTTTTGTGGAGGAACCGGGAGACATCATCGATTCACACTATCTCTATGTCCAACAGCCACTACAGGAACGCTAGTATCAGCCAAGCAGCTGCGGCACACCCACACCTACGCATACATACACATGCACACATATAGACACCCACACACAGACACAAACAGAGACACATACACACACAACATTGTTTACACACGTCAATACATATACAATCGTGACGACAGCATACATCTGTTTGAAGTTTTTAATTTTGCGTATTTGTCTCTTTTCATTTCTGCGATCAGTGAAGTGACAAGTTGCGATCAAAGGGATAACGCGAATGTTGCAGATAGACAGACAGACCATGCCGAAGACTGCAACCAAATCAGAACCATTTATACATTGCTCCTCTCCTCCCTAACACGACCCACTCCTCCTTCTAGTCTTCCCTTCCTACATATCGCTTTTGGACAAACAGACAAGTCAAACGGAGCCCCTCTCTTTAAAAACAGTCCAAAATATCGCAACTGTCTGGACACCCACATTGCACTGTCATTATTATTGATAACAGAGTGCACTTCGTCAATACCCACCACTCTTCAAACTGCACTTCAAGGAGTTGAAGAAGGATCAGTGATGTTCACTGATTCCTTCCTTCTACAACACATCAATAATGTTAAAGTGCAATCAGCCAACTGCATTTGGATTTGGACATCAACATCAGATCAGAAGTGAAACAGTTCCAGCAATTCCTTCTCTATCATACTTCCTAGTAAAATAAAGGATGTTAGGATAACAGTCTTATAATAAGAAAGTGAACTACATTCACCGTAGAAAAAAACTTACTAGCACAAGAGTAGTAACTATGTTTACATCTAAGGAAGATAATAAATACAAGGGAGAAACTAACTTCAG